ACAAGATATGTTGTTTACGTCCAACACGCATAAGATTACATAACTCAAAATGATTCGAGCAAAACCGGTCTTTTGTTAAAAGTAAGAATGGTTAATTTCTCGACAACCTGTTTCGTATTACATTTCGAATTCAATTTTTCTAATATAAATATCTCGGCGAGTATTTACCCCCAATTCAATTTTTCTAATATAAATATCTCGGCGACTATTTATCCCCCCTTTTAAATAAATGCCACCATTGAAATCCTCACAATATAACCTTTCGAACGGGGGGTCAAGTGCCGTCAAAACATTACACAAACCGAAACAATCATATATTTTATACTCACCGCTTCGCCAAACATTCAAAGGAGAAAATGAGAAAAAAGTTGAATATATTCTAAACTTTGGTGTCATTTCCTGAAAGGATATGTGTAAAATACTCTTTGTATTCAAGCGCTTTCGTGTAGAAAGTTTCGTATGTATACGCCGACTAGAAATATTTATTTTGAATTTTTAAAGTATCGGGTTTTACTCGCACGCGCTTGTATTACGTAATACTTGGCCAATAAGGAGCTCCCTTTAGCCGGGATGACGTAAAACTCACGCGTATGGGTGCACTTTGACCTGTAGAATCCATTTCTGGCATTTCCAGAGTCACGCGATGCAAGCGTAGCATTGTTTTGACGGTTTTTCGTCGTATTTCCGGTTGGGATTAACGCATATTCGGAGCAGAAATACAAAATTCGGCACTAAATGTCGAATTTTAAAGATAGAAGCTTGAAAATAACACTATACGTGTTATTTTTAACTTCTTAATCCACCAAGACGATCAGAATGAGCATACGTCTCAATGGAACGAAGTTATATTCGGCGAAAGGTATGTTTATGTTTATAATTTGTCAGTAATATTGCGTAATTTGACCATATACGAGCTCGTTTGACTTTCAAAGCTCATAAATCGCTATAATGTTGCCATTCACTAAATATATCGATAGGAATGAGTAGCTATCGTTACACTGAATCGAATGGTGGTATTTTGGTCCACGTAGCATTTACCGAACTGAAGATATGAACCGCAAAAATGAGTAAATCATGAGTGATTTGTTTAATTGGGACCTGTCGGGAAAGAGTTAATAGAAATTGGTCCTTTTGAGTGACATAATCGTGTATCGTCATCGATCCGTGACGTTGAACAATGAAAAATTTTGCTGTGAAATTAGTGAAGATAAAATGGCATTTTGTGAAAAAACTGCGGGTCTACGGAGTGGGAACTTTTCGGATTTGAACTCAGTGTGTTCGAAAGTGTTAGTTCCCGTAAAAGCATTTCAGGTCTAAGACATGCTTAATGAAAATCGTTTTCTAGGCACTTTTCGAGGTCACAACATACGGACTAGTAAAATTGTTCTGATTTCCTTCTCAGATTACGCTGATTCTCAAAGACGACCGGTTTTGGAAGTAGATTATGTAGGGGATGGTCTTTAGATTTCATTTTGTCCATATATTTCTCACACAATAGATCTCTTCTACTCTTGAGTGTAGGAATGTCGGCTAGATTTAGTGCGTCTGTGTACGAATCACACTCAGGATAGATAATTTTAAGTGATCTCTTTTGCACGACTTCGATTGCCTCAGACAAATAGTCCGGGATGGCTTGCCATACCGGTACGGCGTATTCCAGCACTGGTCGTGCTGTAGTTAAATAAATTTTTAAGATATTATCATTTTCGACTCCAGCTCTACGCAGTACTTTTAGCGAATATAGTTTCTTACTGGCTTTCTTGATAATGTGGTCGACATGACAGTTCCACTTTAGATCACTACTGATGATCACACCTAGGATCTTATAAGTCTCCACTTGTTCTATAACGTAGTTACCTATTTGTATAGGTTTAATCAGAAAGTTTGGATTGCGTAGGAAGTTAATAAGCATTTCTTTGCATTTGGTAGGATTTAGCTTCATATTATGCTCTATGGCAAAATTATGTATGTCAGCAGCAGCATTGTTTAGGACGCTAATTGAATTTCTTGGAATAATCTCCAGTACGGATGTGTCATCGACAAATTTAGTCCGAAGATTCCATTCGCTTAGCAATTTGTTTGTCATGACAATAAAGAGAATTACGCCTAGTTTAGTTCCTTGAGGAACCCCACCCTTCACTGATTTCCAGTCTGATAGAACTCCATCAATTTTAACAGCCTGCATACGGTTGGTTAGAAAGGCTGCGATCCAATTCAAAAGTGCAGGATGAACTTGCAGGTTCTCTAGTTCGTGTAGAAAGATGGTATGATCAATAAGGTCGAACCCTTTAGAAAAATCAGCAAAGAATAAGCGTGCTCCGGCCTCACCAGTATCCACTGCTTCGTAGATTGCTTGCAATGTATATAGTAGAGCATCTGTCGTTGAATGATTTTTACGAGCATATTGACGCGGATCCAGCTTATCTTCTAACTGAGGTAGGAGTCTTGCGCATGTAAAACCTTCCATGAACTTTGCTATGGTACATGTCAACGACATAGGTCGGAGGTCATTTTCTATGGTTCTAGGAGGGTTGATCTTCGGTACTGGAATAACAATTGATGATTTGAGGAGTTCAGGAATATATCCCTCTTTCATTGATTGGTTATAAATATCTTTGATGACAGGTGCCAACTCATGCGCGAATTCCTTCAGGACTCTATTCGGGATGTAATCAGGACCGACTGATTTATTTACTTGGAGCAATGATAATGCTCTGTAGACCTCGTTATCAGTTACAAAGAAATCCTGTGGAACTTCATGGGATACAATGCGTGGAGTTAAGGGCTCAAAATTATCAGTTAGGCCAGTAAAGAAGTTGTTAATCCTATTAGCTAGTAACTTAGTGTCAGAGCTATTTTCTAACAACTGATGGTGCCATTCCAGTTTTGAACTTTGCCCAGAGAGTTTTTAATTTCTCTCCACCATTTTGTGGAATTAACTCTTTGTACATCAGTAACTTTAACGCTATAATATTGGTATTTTGCTGCACGAATGGAACGTTGGACTTTGTTTCTCCAATATCGGTATGCTGTTGACATTTTCCCTTGCTGGATAAAAGCTGATTGGCGTTTTTGAATCCCTTTTTTTATCTTAGTAGTGATCCATGGTCGATCTGTTGGGTGCTTTTTAACCTCTTTTTGTGGAAGGAATCTATCAATAGCCTGGTTAAGATCTGAGTTAAAAAGATCAAATTTATCTTTACACATATCAGCTTCGAGGACAGAGGACCGATTTTTTTAGTAATCCATCGACTTAGCGCACACCACGCACTATCCCTCATATCGCGTATTTTAGATTTACTTATTAGTTTAGTTTCACCTCCAAGTATAGGCTTTGCCAGAATTGAATAATGGTCAGATGATGCAATCTTAGGTAGCTGGGTTAAAGAGAACAGTTTAGGTCTGTTCGTAAACAGCCAGTCTAAAATACCAGAATCTCTTGTTTTAAAGGTAACCAACTGTTTAAGGCTATTCACTTGGGTTATATATTTTTTATTAAAACCAGTCGATGTTGGATTAAAATCGCCTGTTAGAATAATTAATGCATTTGGCTGTTTAAGTAACGCAACATCAAGATTTTTTTTGAACATGATCACGTGAAATAATGTTCTCAGGTTTCCCATTACTCGTCGAATGATAGACCACGCCTACTACGATTGATGTAACTTCTCTTGGTAAACTATGTGGTCTCATTGATATCCATATTGATTCGAGCTCCGTTTGATCACTGAATTCCAAAAGTTTGCATGGTATATTTTGGTCTACGTACACACACATACCACCACCAGACGTTTCAATTCGGCCCTTGCGGAATAAATTATAACCAGGAATAGAAATGAATGAGTCAGGAATTTCTGGCGATAACCAAGTTTCGGTTATACAAATAGCACCAACAGAATTCAGCAGTGCTATTTGTTCAATCTCATCTACTTTCTTTGGCAGCGACCTCACATTCGCAGATAGAATGGTGGGGATATCATACCTTTTGGGGATTTTTATCTTTTTAAAATTTTTTAGAGCATGATAGTGGACTCCTCTACCTGGATTCTGATACGGGCGTCTCTTACGTCTAGTAATTCTTGTGGAGATTTCATGTGTGGGATTTTCTATTACCATGGGGCTCTGATTGATAAACTGAACTACGTGTTATTGTGAGACAGTTATTCGACGTACCAGATCTAGATGTTCGATCCAATCTGGGTCCTTTCTTTGTATATGATACCGGAACCATGGGACTTTGATGTTTTGGCCTGTTTTGGTAGAGGTTTGGTAATAGTAATTCTCTCGGTCTCGTTCTTGGGATAGTCGGGCACCAGAACGTTTTCGGGAGCGCTTTCGAAAATAATTCCTTCGCATTTGTCCATTTTGTTGTTCCGATCTCTGTAAGTTTACTTTGAGAGGTGGATAGGTCGGGTTAAATCGTTTATTATCAAGAAGTGGTAAATTGTGGTCGATAATATTTGTCGATTTCTTTGCATTCGAAACAACTTTTTTATGTTGGTCACCGTGGGAGGTTTTTACAGGCGAAACATGGTTAGGGTCATAATTAGTTAGTTCTACGTGGCTAGACAATAGAGAATTGCTCGTTGTAGGATGATTGCTGGGGGAGATCTCATTTGGTTTTGGATTGGGAATTTTGATACTAATTAATTCTCTCATGGAGTCATTCGTCGCCTCGGTGGCTTCAGGATTACATTCAAGTGAAGCATTGATAACGTTTATTTCATTAACCTCACGAGTTCGCCCTTTAATTATTTGTGCATCTGGATCATGAATAAGGTCATAAATAATTTGTTCTTCTAGGCTAGGCAAGCACTGAGTATCTCCCATTGCAGGGACATTGCTGGGGAGAAACTCGTTTGGTTTTGAATTGGATATTATGGTATTAATCAATTGTCTCAGAGAGTCATTAGTCGCCTCGGTGGTTTTAAGTTTACATTCAAGTGAAGCAATGATATCGTTTATTTCAGTAACCTCACGGGTTCGTCCTTGAATTATAAGGGACAAATCAGCTTCAAGGCGCTCACATTTTTCTCTCTCACTGGAAAGCTCAGTTTTCAGCCGGTTCACCTGATCGGCTCGGGATTTACTAGCATTAGTCTTAATATCCTTTTGCATAATTGTAATTTCAAGCTTAATCCCTTCTGTTACCTAGTACAGTTTGAAAGAATATATATTTTCCTGAAGATATTTAGTATCAACTACTACACCGCACTTTCAATTGGTCTGAAAGTTAATTGATCATCCTTCAACTATCATATGATCAAACGTCATGACATCAGATATACGTAAATATGCAGGTATGCAATCCTAAACTTGTACAGACACGTCCCCTTCTATTCATTGAAAAAATTGAAATCACGACATTCAGTATAATAGTATATCCATGTCTATTTGACTAAATCTTTTAAATTCTTTGTATAATTTTATGATAAAGAAGATTTTTGCTTTAAATACGTAAAAAATATGTTGTCCAATGTAACATGAAACCTGTTTAATAAGTATAGTTATAAATATTTGTTTCGCTTTGTGAAAAACATTATTATTTCTATTATTGCAGAGCTTTCGATCCGTAATCCCGAATCTTCATATTTTAGCATATTAGCACTGATGAAGATCTGGGCTTACGTTCGGATCGAAAGCTTTGCAATAACAAGTGTATATATACATGGTGTAATTTTTTAAACAAACCAAAGGATGTGCAAATTGTCTGTAGTTAAATTAAATTGACGTTATTGATTAAAGTAAAACTTTTCTTTGTCACGTTTAGCCCATTTCTGGGCCCACTTTGGGGGCCATTAAGGTCGCCGTTATTATGTGCAATATTGTGCGACATTAGGGGACACTAATTAAACGAATAGACTGTTAGGCAAAGTTCAAAAATGGGATGCACATAGGCGACATTAGGCGACCTTGGCCCCCAAAGTAGGCCTATATCTTATGTTTTATTTCTTCGTCAGGTTTTGAAAACACCGTGTTTCCTTAGCTTTGACTTTCAAACACTGAATGTGCGCATTCGAGTAATTATTTTACTTACAATCATGGAAATAATATCCGTAGACCTTTTCAAAACGCATCTTGTCGTACTATTTTGTGAAGCCATTTTATTTTTAGTTAAATACAAACGTCCATGATCGCTAGAAATAGTAACTCCCCCTCCCCCTAGCACAATGCTGGTTCAAACCATGATTATTGGAGCACAAGCGAACATTGTAAACGGGGAGGGAGAAAACTTTGGAAATTTTTTCGGAAAAGTTTTCGAATTAATTTCCATGATTATAGCTTTTAACAGTCTTATTCAATGATCATGAATGTGATTCGTCAATTATGATGATTATTTTGAACATATTATATAGGATTTCTGGGTTCTTTCTTCCTGTGCGTCATTTATGGCTTATTTATTTTCTTTTGAACCAGCATATTGGGCTTTATAGGCTGAATCTTTCGCGGTCGCAGCGCACTTGCCAGCAATGTTACATATTGAATTGTGTCTTGGTGTCTGCATGAATTCTTAACAAATACATTTACCCCACTAGGGTTGAAAGAAACTTACCGCCAATAGGTTTCAAATTGTGTTTAACATTCAAAAGAAATTTACCGCCTTTGTTTCTCTCCGTGAGAAGAGGTTTGACTTTGATTCACCATTAATTAGTTAATCTCGCTGTCTCACTGATCTGTAACATCTGTTGGACTGTCAGACTGTGTGTTAAACTTGCTTGCGTTAAACTATTGCGGCATCGCATATCAAAGCAAAAACAAACTATATGCATGGAACCAATAATTTCTTCCGAAAATATTTTCAAGCTATCAAAGACACTTTGATTCCAAATCTGTAAACTTTTCAATCTCATTAAAACACTCAAGCATATTTATTTAATTAATCATCAATAATTAACAGACAAGATTGCTATTTGACTAAATTTTTTACTGAACACCCTGAGCTAACATAATATTTTTGTAATTTTATGACAGATAATATTTTTGCTTTAAATACGTAAAATTCATAAAAAATATGTTGTCCAATGTATTAACATGAAACCATGCCCATGCATGGGCAACTTTAATATCAACAGTGTCTGTGAGCTAAACGTTTGTATTTATCGAGTAGTGACCCCTACTTTAGTTATATTTACCCTGTCCAACGCCAGACGATTTTACTTAGTCAGTGGTAAGGTACGCCAATAAATGGGTTAACAAGGATAACAACATTACGTGTCCTGTATATATTTAGTAATTGCTAGTCTTAGCATTGTTGCTGCCGCAACGAGGTCGCCTGAAGCGACCGAGCAAGGCAGCAGACATAAACTTTGAAATAGGGGTTGAAATCTGAATTTTAACGAAGCGCAATATGGTCGCCGGTATTTTTTACCATAATGCACTTCGGTCGGTTTCTTTAATCCTTCACGTGCGTGTGGTGTTCGGTGATGAACAAGTGTTTGCGAGACAAGTTGTAAATTCGTAGCGCTGTGACTGGGTTTCAAAGGCGAGCCTTTATTATTAAGGTTTTTGCTCTACTTTCAACATTGAATGTTAATATTATAACATCACTCTTGCTCTATATTGTGTCTACATATTATTGAGTGAAATATTCGACATGAGCGCAGACTTCATATCGGATCGTATTACATTTCGGAATTTTAACGACATATTGAATTGAATTGAATTTTATTGATCGGATCGTATTACATTTCGGAATTTTAACGACATATTGAATTGAATTGAATTTTATTGAATTGAATTTGAATTGAATTTTATTTGCCCATATGAAAAAGTTAATATTTACAATCTAAAGTATACAATAAAATATGACGGGCTAGGAGCCTTCATGAAAGCCCATATGAAAAAGTTAATATTTACAATCTAAAGTATACAATAAAATATGACGGGCTAGGAGCCTTCATGAAACCCTTTCAGGCTTTTTGTTCAAAGGTCCCTAGTTCTATAATATTTTTACAATTGTTTTATATGGTAAGTTAATCATATAATGTCGAAAGAATATAGGAATATTTACAAATACAAGTATAAAGTAAGGAAAATTTTAAAGTAAAAGTAATATAATGAGCTAATTGAACAAAGTTTACAGATAATAACAATTAAAGTATATTTTACAAGAAAAATAATTTTGACTTTTTCTTAAAAGTACAATAAAATGTAATACTGCTAATTTCATTATCGAGTGAATTCCATATCTTAACTCCCTTGTTAACAATAGAATGTTTTGCATAATTTGCTCTGCTAAAATTTACATGAAATTTGTTAGCATTTCGAGTATTGTAATGATGCACTTCATTGTTCTGTGCGAAGTAGCCATTAAAATATTCAAGTAAGTTTTGTAGACGTTTAAACCGGTACATAAATAAACAACTTAAAAAGTCATTGATCTTAAAGATATTCAAGATCTTTAAGTTCTCAAACAATGGCTCAGTGTGTTCAAGATACGATTTAAAACTTATCAATCTGATAATTTTTTTCTGTATATTCTGTATTTTCTGTAGCCTTGTTGGGTACGTATTACCCCATACTAGATTCCCATAGGTAAGATATGGATAAACCAATGCATAATAAATCAACTTAAGTGTATTTTTATTTGTGTAATGTCGCAGTTTTGCTATAAGTGCCGCAGATTTAATTATATGTTTAGCAACCAAATTTATATGGTTTTTCCATGTTAATTCACAATCTAAAATTACACCTAAAAATTTGATATGAAAAGCCTGTTGTATAATGTTATCATTAAGTTTAATATCGATTTCAATGTCGCATTTTTTATTTCTTGATTTAAAAATTATATACTTAGTTTTTGTTGTATTTATAGATAGTTTATTCACGTTTAGCCATTTAATTACTTCATTCATTTCTTCTTGCATAACATGTGTCAATGATTTTAAGCATTTGTCAGAGTGAAATGCATTAGTGTCATCAGCATACATAACAAAGGATATAATTTTACTACAGTTTTCAATATCGTTAATATATAACAGGAAAAGTAGTGGCCCAAGAATAGAGCCTTGCGGAACTCCTGTAGATACAATCAATTTGTTTGATTTATGATGACCAAATTTAACAATTTGCATTCTTTCATGTAGGTAGCTTTCAAACCATTTTAGGCAATTTCCTCTTATGCCATAATGTTCAAGTTTTTTTAGGAGAATATCGTGGTTAACTCATACCTAATTTTAGTGTGCAGTGATAACCAATTTGTGCAGTGATAAAAGTAAAATGTGCAGTGATAAAATGTAAAATGTGCAGTGATAAAATTTGCTTTGATAAGTTGTTAATTAACACAAGAGAATGATTCAATTGAAATTGAAATGATGACTGCCAAATTAGCGAATTAAATAATAGTATATGTTTTTTGTACGAAAATCATGAGATTCGGGCAATTTTTAGTTAATATCTGGCTTTTGGTATGTCCGGAAAAAATTTTTGACCCTTAAAATGGTACACTGACCAAAATTTTTTTGGCGACGGGGGGGGGGGTGGGGAGGTCGCCAAAAATTTCCAAATATTCTTAGTCATTCGGAAATTTTTGGCATAAAATGTGCAGTGATAAAAAATTCTTAAAATTAGGTATGGGTTAACTGCATGTATCAAAAGCCTTAGATAGATCAAGGAAAATACCAATTGTATATTTACCATCATCTATAGCTTTTGAAATTTTGTCAGTTAGTTCAATTATAGCATGTTCAGTTGACCGATTTTTCCTGAAACCATATTGATGTTTAGATAAAATATTATGTTTTTCAATATATGAAATTAGTCTTTTATGCATTATTTTTTCAAGTAGTTTTGAAAAACATGTGAGAACTGAAATTGGTCTGTAATTTTCAAACAGGTATCTTTCATTTGCTTTAAAAATAGGAGTAACGATAGCTATTTTTAGTGATTCCGGGATTACTCCGGTATCAAACGTTAAATTGAAAATATGTGCAAGAGGTTTGCAGATTTCTTGTTTTATAGTTTTTATCATTTTGGCACTTATATTATCATGTCCTGCACTTTTATTTGTATTTAAGTTATCAATCTCAGTCAGTATTTCAAGTTCAGTAACAGGCTAAGCAAACATACTCTCTCTATAGTTTCCTTTGAGATATTTTTCAAATGATACTGTATCATTTTTTCGAATACCTTTTGCCAATTTTGGACCAACATTTACAAAATATTCATTAAATTTGTTAGCAATTACCGGTTGGGTCAGAAAAATTAATATCTGAGTTCTTTTGTTGGGCATGTTGTAAAAGACGGACTGGACTGGACTCAGAAAAATTAATATCTGAGTTCTTTTGTTGGGCATGTTGTAAAAGACGGACTGGACTGGACTGGACTGGACTGGACCGGACTGGACTGGACTGGACCGGGAAAACGCGGACTGAGTCCGTGTTTTACAAATCGCGGACTGAATTTGTAAAAACGCGGACTGAGTCCGTGTTTTACAAATCGCGGACTGAATTTGTAAAACACGGACTGGACTGGACTGGACCGGGAAAACGCGGACTGAGTCCGTGTTTTACAAATCGCGGACTGAATTTGTAAAACACGGACTGAGTCCGTGTTTTACAAATCGCGAACTAAGATTTGTAAAACGCGGACTGAGTCCGTGTTTTACAAATCGGAGTCCGTGTTTTACAAATCGCGGGCTGCGATTTGTAAAAGGCGGAATTTACTGAATGAACTAAGGATGAACGGTCGCAGTAAAGTAGTGTCTATTCTCATGACAAAGTTCAATGTTTTTACCGAGAAAGTTCAATGTTTTTGATGATCATTTATGGTCATTTGGTGGTTTCAAAGCTTGGATCTGGTTGTTCAACGGGTTAAAATCAGATCAGAACTTGTCAAGTGCTCTTGACAAATATCGAAAATTCTCACGCGACTAGGCAATGTTTTTATCAACGACCTCACCGTTCATCCTGCAAGCGACGGTACCGATGGACTCTGTCCTGTACTGACTCAGGAATTGCACTCAGTCGTGAGAGTTTTAGCGGGAATTGCGGATATTAATAGGTCGGTCAAGGAATAATCATATCCTGGAGCGAAGGTTGGTAAAAATTACTATTTGATTTATTTATTGTTTGAAATAAACTGATGAACAGCGTTCAATCTTAGGAGCACGCTCAGCCATGTGGGACTTTGTGCCACTAATCTATTGTCGAGGAAACTCGTGCGTATATCAAGTGTGGCCGTTGCCGTAATTAGTTGTATGCCTGTATAGATATAGCCGCTAGCTCTTATAGCAGATACCATTTAGTGTTAATCATAATTAGAAGAAAATAGAGTTAATTCGTTTATTCAGTTGTGTTCGTGGCGAAGAGGGCGTATTAAATAAAGGTGTCTACAAATTTGCGAGAAATATGAAATGAATACTCTAATCGAATTTGCCTTTTAAATATTTGTGTTATTAACTTTTATTGTTGTCATACGACGAAGTTTCTAAAAATCGTTATTCGATTATAGTATTCATTTCGCATATTTCTCGCAAATTTATAGACACCCTTTTACACCCGTTTTCAAAATTACGCGACCTCCCTGAAAAATACTCTTTACTTCAAATGTCAATTTTATGTCACAAAAACTGCTAAAAATAGCAAACGTAAACAAACTGTCAAAAGACATTTCAAACCGTATTTAATACCAAAACTGAACAAAAATGAGTTAGATACAAGCACAATACAAACCATCACAACAGAAATATGTGTCGTGAATAACTTTTAAAGTTTGAAAAATAACAATTTATCCAACCTCGTGGTTGCAATTTATCCAGGAATATACCTGTCAGTATAAAACACGCGCGCGCTAGAACGGTGATCAGGGATGCCGGAAGTTGCTGAGGGCAAGGGGTGCAATTGGTTAACAAAAGGGCATACTCCATAACAAAAGGGCACCAATGAAAATGAAAGGGCGTCATGATCCAACATTCGTGTCGACCTCCCTCCCCGTCACCAATTTTTTTCGGACCGAATACAATTATTTAGGCACAATTCCTCCGTAATGCTTCAATAAAAAATCCATAAGTAATGCTTTCCGTTTCACCTTTCGCCAAATGGATAACAACTTTGCCGAATTCCTGACGACTGCGGGGTGGAACACCCCCACACACATCCTCAAGCGACGTTTAATTCTGTCTGCTGTAAAAGTTTTGTGCACCCGATACACCCATTGAGTCTGCACCCGCACTGCACCCACAAAGTTGAAAAGGCAAGGGGTGCACTTGCACCCGCTGCACCTGTGGTTCCGGCATCCCTGACGGTGATGTTATGATTTTGTTTGTGCTTAAATTTTGCAATAATTCCCACTAAAAAGTATCTTGAAGTCATTGTAAGCCTGTTTATATAAAGCATACAAAGCATATACATCGACAAGGAACTGCAAAACTCAAAGTTTAAACTTCGTGTAGTTCGTGACCGAATGACATAAAACTGACATGTCAACTCTAGCATTTTCGTCCTTGATCGCGTAATTTTGAAAACGGGTGAAAACGTTTGAAAACTCTTCGCCACCGGAACGCAAAATAAACAAATTAACTCTATTTTCAGTCTAATTATGAGTAACACTAAATGGTATCTGCTATAAGAGCTATAATATCCAGGGGCGAAACTAGCCCCTTTTAATTCGGGGGGGTGTCTGCCAATTCCTGTTAAAACATGGCATAAACCCTTGTTTTTGACAATATAAATTCTATAAATTCCCTCTGAAAGCCCTGTAAATTACTTAACTCAACATTCTATCATTTAATTAAAATCTTTGATTTATTCAAAACAATAAATAATAGTAATTTTTACCAACCTTAGCTCCAGGATATGATTATTCCCTGACCAACCTATTAATATCCGCAATTCCCGCCAAAACTCTCACGACTGAGTGCAATTCCCGCCAAAACTTTTACGACTGAGTCAGTACAGGACTGAGTCCATCGGTACCGTCGCTTGCAGGATGAACGGTGAGGTCGTTGATAAAAATATTGCCTAGTCGCGTGAGAATCTTCGATATTTGTCAAGAGTACTTGACAGGTTCTGATCTGATTTTAACCCGTTGAACAACCAGATCCAAGCTTTGAAACCACCAAATGACCATAAATGATCATCAAAAACATTGAACTTTCTCGGTAAAAACATTGAACTTTGTCATGAGAATAGACAATACTTTACTGCGACCGTTCATCCTTAGTTCATTCAGTAAATGAGTCCGCCTTTTACAAATCGCAGCCCGCGATTTGTAAAACACGGACTCAGTCCACGTTTTACAAATCTTAGTAAATCGCAGCCCGCGATTTGTAAAACATGGACTCAGTCCGCGTTTTACAAATCTTAGTTCGCGATTTGTAAAACACGGACTCAGTCCGTGTTTTCCCGGTCCAGTCCAGTCCGGTCCAGTCCAGTCTTTTACAACATGCCCTTTTGTTGAAACACGTGAGAAAGTTTTTCCTTCTTTTTATTTCTATTCAGTAGTTTATTTATTGTTTGCCATGTCATTTTGCTATTGTTTTTGTATTTAATAAATTGATTTTCAAAGTAATCTTTTTTACTAATTTTAATTAAATGTTTTAATTTATTTTTGTAATTTTTGTAAATAGTTTTGTTCTTTTCACTTGGGTTTTTTAGACACTTTTTATAGAGTCTGTTTTTAATTCCAATAGACTTAGAAATACCTTGAGTCATCCAAGGGCTTTTATCGTAATTAATTATATTTCGTTTTTGCCGTTTTACTAAAGGAAAGCTTTTATCAAACGCTTGTATTAGTTTATTATGGAAATTCTTGTATGATTCAGAGCGGTCATTGTCTTCAACAATAGTATCCCATGATATATCTTTCACAGAATTAGAAAATAATAGAAGATTGGCATTATTGACTATTCTTTGATGTTGCGAAGTTTCAACTTTAGAACTGTACATTTTCGTTGGGAAAGATGCAATATGAAAAACTGGAAGATGATCTGATATATCACTAAAAACTAATCCATTCTTACTGGATTCAATTTGTTCTAGATCATTAGTGAATATATTGTCAATTAATGTTGCGGTATATACTATGTTCAGTTATCCTAGTTGGTCTTGTAATAAGAGGCAAAACATAGGCACTCAACGAAAATTTGTGGTGAGCCGAACCATATTAATATAGCTACGCTGTGTATTTATGTATTTAACATAATTGTTTCGCATGAGAAACTAAGCAGGAGTGAGAAATCGAAGCTGTATGATACAGAGTTAGAACGCGCAATAATCAGCGTTTATGAGCTTTATTTGTCAAAGTTCAGAGGTCGGCTGTGGGCGGTCGCAAAACGTTTGTGTATACATTTAATTGCTGCCGCAGCGAGCGAGCCTGAAGCGAGCGAGCAAGGCAGCAGGCCTAATTTTGTTTTGTGGGTCGATATCAAAATTTTCTATTTGGCGCATTGCATGACGGTACCAGTGAATTTTAACCGTGGTGCAGCGCGGTCAAGCATAAGGCAAACAGGCAATGTGGTCATCTTTCATCTTTGGTCTTCTTTTATGGAAAGCCATAGCTGGCTTAAAGTGATCAAACGGCATTTTGTTTGGTGCTTTTAGCATTATACGGCGGTGCTTTCGCCATTATACGCGGTGGTTCCCACATTATACGCTGTGGTTCCAGCATTATACGCGGTGCTTTCACCATTTATATACGCGGTGTTTTTGCAATTATACGCAGTGGTTCGAGCACTATATGCGGTGCTTTTAACATTATACGCGATGCTAGCTTTCATTCAACATTATTTTCATATTCTTTACATGACATGTATATGATTTAACGATTGCTTAAATTTGGTATGTGGTTGACGAATGCTTTTTGCCTATGGTCCGCAAAGACAATGACATGCTTTTCTGTGTATATAAATAAATATAACGCAGCGAATGCACCAAGCAGTATAAACGCGCGGCTGAAATACGATATTAAAATCATGTAAATAAATATAACGCAGCGAATGCGCCAAGCAGTATAAACGCGCGGCTGAAATACGATTTTTACTTATATGAATGTGCCGTATGATTTAATTATGTTTTAGGATTTACAAATGCTTTGTCATTTGGTGTTTATACTTGTACTGCATCACAAGGCAGTACGTAAGTGAAAAAATTTCACATGTGAGATTGTCTTGTATATATTTTTGCTTTCTTTGATAAACATTATTAATAAACACGCAAATTTTAATTAGTGAGATGCAATATAACAATATTAAATGTCACCTGCATGTCATTGTCATTGCCCTTTAACCCCTGGTCTAATTGGCCGCTTTTGAAAATGTTGATCATGACATGACGAACCGCACTTTTGTGTTTTAAAAACGAGTTAGGATAAAACGCGGATACGGTCGGACGGATGAATGAATGAATGACGGACGGATGGCGATAGACGAACCGGACGGATAACATATATATGTCATTATATAGTCTGCGCGCAGCCGCGCAGGGTAGTTAGTGGCTTACGTCTTCGCTGGTTGTTATACTTTAAAATAATTTTGTATTTACCAAGAAATCAATATTCCGAGTATATAAATATATAAACTGGGATGTCACACTGACGAGTAAAATTTCCTGGAGCATCAAATCTTATGTTTAACCACGGTGGTTTAACCCATTAGCTGACAATGCGCCAGTCCCTTGTCCAGCGCCAGAAAATTTTACTCGTCAGTGGTACAGGGTACTGCCAGTAAATGGGTTAACAAACCTATCTGCCAATGGCTCTTGTTAATCCATCAGCACAGTAATGACTTTAGTATTTACCCTGTCCAACGCCAGACGATTTTTAATGCTCAGTCAGTGGTAGGGCCGTGCTGTCAATAAATGGGTTAACAAGGATAACAATAGCCTGCGTAGCGGCTATCAGAGAAAGTCTACTTTCTCTGAGAGCCGCTACGCAGGCTAGGATAACAATAATAGGATGTTTCTGAAGGACTCGTTCAACACCCTGTAGTTTGTCTTTTGCTGTCAAAGGCAGCATTACTGCCCTGTGGGTAACCTAGTTCAGAAACATTTAATGGGCCAATTTTACTAGAACGTTAGTGGCTTACTTCTTCGTTGATTGTTATACTTTAAAATAATTTTGTATACACCGAGAAATCAATATTCCAAGTATATATAAATATATAAACTGGGCTGTCACACTGATAGCTTGTTTACATTTCCTGGAGCATCAAATCTTATGTTTAACCACAGTGGTTTAACTATTAGCTGGCAATGCGTCCTTCCTTTAAATTTGTCCAGCGCCAGAAGATTTTACTCGTCAGTAGTATAGGGTACTGCCAGTAAATGGGTTAACAAACCTATATGCCAATGTCTCTTGTTAATCCATCAGCACAGTAATGACTCCTATTTTAGTATTTACCTTGTCCAACGCCAGACGATTTTTAATACTCAGTCAGTGGTAGGGTACTGTCAATAAATGGGTTAACAAGGATCACAATAATCGGATGTTTCTGAAGGACTCGTTCAATACCCTGTAGTTTGTCTTTTGCTGTCAAAGGCAGCATTACTGCCCTGTGGGTAACCTAGTGAAGACTTTAATTAAGTTTGCAATTTTTACGTTTTTCGCGTGACTGGTTTGACGACCCGTGTATATCAGTGTATATCCATGTCTATTTGACTAAATCTTTTACTGAGCGGCCTGAACTAATATAAAATCTTTGTAATTTTATAATAAATATTATTTTTGCTCTAAATACGTAAAATTCATAAAAAATGTGTTGTCCAATGTAACATGAAACCTGTTTAATAAATATAGTTATAAATATTTGTCTTGCTTTGTGAAAAACATCACTATTTCTATTATTGCAAAGCTTTCGATCCGTAAACCCGAATCTTCATATTTCAGCATATTATTAGCATCGATGAAGATCTGGGCTTACGCCAACCTCTTTTCCAGTGTTTCACCTCCGCTCACTACCCTGCTACGGAGAGATCCTGGTATGGTATGGTGTGGTCACGTGAGTCATGACCACGTGCTATACTTAGTAGGGGTAGCACGATCGAGCACTTGTTAGCTACTGAATAGACAATGTAAAAAAAGGGCATTTTAAACCATATTATTCACCTAAACTATAAAGGCTTTCGAACTGTAATAAAGCCAGGTAACTGAAAGGGTAGAGAAAGCATCACAGCAGGAATCCATCTTTTTAATTATTTACTAACGTCTGTACACAGGCTAAACTATTGTTGTCCATTGTAAATTTGAAATGTGAGTGAAGAATCGTTGACCCTCTACTGTTTGCATATTAAATAATGACTTTGACCAGAACGTGGTGAACTGTTTGCGGATGATTCAACAATCCTTTATGCAGTGGATTAAAAAGTCTATCAAAATTTATTTGAAGCGCAAATTTCCCGAGCACTGGTACGCTTTTAACATGATGATTATTGCTTTCTGTCGCTAAGTGTCTATTGTCTATTGCTCCTTTTAGTTGAAACCGATATCGGTTTTATCTTTTACAATATAATTCAATAACGAAAAATTTTCTCCAACTTACAATTAAAGTACAACATGTGACCTGAATTTTCTTGCGCTATATGTTCAACTATGTTGTACTTTGTCAATGCTTTGGTATAAGGTCATAAAAGACATGTGCAGTCATACAAAGATATATATAATTTAACTTTATTTAAGCATGTAATATGAAGAAGGCATTAGAGCCAGCACATATAACAAAACAAACATGTAAATATTTTGAATTGGGATTGACGTAAAACCTACATACTATACCAACGACAGAACCAATGCAAATTTGTCAAACATTTGTATGAATTAATACGCGTATACCAAAATGATATAATGTGCGAACATTTACTATACACAAAACTAAATATCGTGCCAGGTCGTTAAAATATAAACACGTAGCGTTGCACTGCGAATTTTCAATTTATAAAGATGAGAGTTCATAATTGATAAGCTTTTTTAGCAAATACATGAAAATGTATCCATTTAATTTTATTTTGACAAATTCATCTGCATGATCTGTGCTATATTATATACGAAGAAAGGTTTAAATCACAATTTAGTTTATATTATTAATATCACTGCGATCAGTGATCATATATATTTAGAAGCAAACGACAACAAAAGTCTAAATAACTCTTCTAATGCCGTGAACCATATCATATATAACGTTTTTTTCGAAGTGTTGGTTTTATTTTAAATATAGAACTTCAAAACTGCCAAATGCGATATTAACTAAATTGACAAGTTCTATTATTTTTAAAAATGACTATAGTTAATAACTCTGCCCTACGTACCCAACCTAACGACAAATTACGCTACAACCCAAAATCTGAATTGACGTCACGTGACCATTTCCGAACAAGGTCTCGCCGCAGCATGTGTTGGGGGGGGGGGAGTGGCGGAGGTGAAACCCTGTGAAACAGGTTGTAATTAAGCATGCGAGAAGCTGATTTTTTTAGGAAAAAATGACTGGTTAAAGGGCTTAAACTAGTAAAGTAAATTGTCTGAAATTTTGCACAGTAATTAAAACCAAACAAATTTTCCATCTATTAACTCAAAATATGATTAAAGTTTTTAGATTTTGTTCCCAAGCCATTTTTAGTTTGTTGGAAAAGACACACCCCCTGTTTTTTTTTTTCATTATTCTACATTACAAGTACCCAAGGTCCCAAAGAAGCTATATGCATAAAAAAATCATACTAACTGCCTCGTCCTCAGGCGCTATAAAACGATTTCACATACTAGTCACTATATAAAAGGTTTAGATGAAGTAGTACGTCACATTATAAACACGCAAAGGAGAATGGGTTATGAGCGTTGCCTGTTCGTTGCAATGCAATACTTCATGCAATCTTTTCATATAGTGACTCACATAATTTTTTTTTCTTAGCTCTTGGGGACGAGGCAGTGATACTAATGTTGACATTTGGACCAAAGCCCTTCGTTGGGAAGTTAGTAATTTTTGCTTCTATTTTCAAAATAGTTGAATCCCTCTTAGGCCCGGTCTAAACGCCGCATTTTACATGCGCCGAATCAAATTATTGAATTACATGCATGTAAAATGCGACGTTTAAATCAATTAAATTCGACAGGTTTGAATTAAGTGCGACTTCAGTCGAATATTCGACTGACTCAGTCGAATATTCGACTAAAAGTCGATTGTTGATTTAAACGCCGCATTTTACATGAGTCTAATCTAATGCATAAATTATGTTAAAATTTATTACCCATAACTCCACGGTTTCATTCAAAATGACATGCGCAGATAGGCGTATATACAGCTACAGCAAGCATGGCCGAAGTTGATGACTGTTTTTCTTGTTCAATCGAGACGAAATACACTTGTTCAACAACTCTTTCTCGACATATATGATATATCGCAATTACAGTATTATGATTCAATTGTTTCTATAATGTAAATATTTCAGCGAGTATATTTACTCCCTAGTTTACAGTAAACGAAAACCATCATTGAAATTCTCACAAAATACCCGTTTAAACGGAGGGTCAAATGTTAAAACACTACACAAACTCCAAAACAATTACACATTTACTCACCCTTGGCCAAACATTCTGAATTTCATTTGGAGAAAAAAACTTTAATACTAAACTTTCGTTATTCTCTCAAAGAAGTAGAAGTAATATGTATTCAAGCGCTCTCGTGTTAGAAAGTTTCGTTTGAATATACGGCGAGAAGAAATATTTATTTGGAATTTTTCAAGATATCGGGTTTTACTCGCACGCGCTTGCCACGCACTATAATTGGATACTTGACAAATAAGGATCGAGCACCATGCATCTTCTGCCTTCTCCTTGTGAAGAGGTTATTTACTGCCATATCCATTAACAGTCGTCGTTTTCTGTTGGCATGAATGATGTTTGATAGGCACAAACGCAATTTTTTTCTCTTACAACTTCATCCGCTATGTAGTTTGGATTTGGCGCCATTTGACGGGCTTTGCAAATTAATTAAATTCGACAATTAAATTCGACGTCTGAATTAAAATTTGAAAAATGTCAATTCAAGTCGACTCGAGTATGTATTTGATTCGACGCATGTAAAATGCGGCGTTAGACTTACCTTAATCCACATGCAGCTTTTTGGTAAAGCTTATAAAACGTACGTATCACTGGAAATCTTAGTTATGTCTGGAACAAAAACTTGGGACTAACTTCAAGTTATTAAAGGGCAAAAGGATTCTTAGCTTAATACAGCTTTTAATATACTGCTTTTGTATATACAGTAGGCGGGAGCCGACGGAGCGAGCGTGAAACTTTAACAAAATCGACTACTCATTTGAGTCAACAACTTTGATTTCAGGAAGGGTTCCAATCAGAAAATTGGGGCTTTTTTCCTCTTAATTAAAGCCTTGATGGTTGCGCAGAGTGTACGTATATATAAAATTTGGTTTTAAGTTTGTTCAAGTGTGAACAACCCACAATGAAGAAAATGAGCACAAATTAAGTGCATGCGCGGTTACAAATAGTTCAACTCTGAATAAAAGCCGATGCTCTAAGCATCTTATTTTACAATTCCTATTTAAGCACTCAACGGTATTTACCGAACATATATCATCATGTGTTCTAGCCAAACATACCCTGGATCAGGGGATTTCCTGTTTCGCTAAAACTGTATCCTGCTCACAGGCGGTGCTGGCCAACACGAAAGCCGGGCAATCAACTAACCCACCTAGTTCCTTTGGGGAACGTCATGACTGCCATTTACATTCGGAATTCTACGGGTACCCGAATATACTATTATATTTCAATAGTTTAATTCTTATGTGCAAATTTCACTTAACGTTAATTTTTGTATAGCAATTAGTGCAAAATCTTGCAAAAAAAGCCGGAAAAATAATTTGAAATTAACCAAGAAATAAGCTATTTCACTTACCTTGTTGCTCTATGACAAACTAGACGTCCAAACACTCAGTAAAGTTGAAAACATCAGAAATCGAAATTTCCACAAACCATTTGTCGTCATCACGATATATAACACGAAATATTATGAATATGCAGGGATATTCCATTTAGTGCAAATTCTAAAGAAAAGTGAGTTGTTTTAGCAATACTTTTATCAAGGAAGAGATTTTAGTAGGACAAAATCTATTATTCCGGTCTCAAATATTTAGCAAAATTCAAACCATGTCAAAACAGCTGCTATTTAAAAACGACAAATAAACATCGAGCAAAATTATCTTGCCGAGATTAAAAAGTGCTGAATTTTCCCGATATAGACTATATTTTTAAAACAGCTGGGTGAAAATATTTAGGCCAAAATCACAATACAAGGATTCACAAACACGCACAGAAAAGTTTATGCCATGATAGTCTAGTCTAAATAAATCCAAACCACAATGTAAGATCAATATTCTACAATACCTGCCAAAGGAACTAAAAAGTCACCGGCTTGGCTTGAAAATATTCAGACCAAAACTGCAAAAGGTGCATCAATTTTAAGTATTTGGCCTGAAAAAATCCAGGCCAAAGGCTTTCCATTCACCGTGCGATAATTTGCATGCAGTTATATGGGTCAAAAAGTTATGGTAATCTTGTCCTGAATAAATCCAAGCCAAAATATACGAGCAATATTGTTAAATTAATATTAATCGCAATTTGAATTCGAAAACACCTTGCACAAAGTCTAAGTTCAGCTAAATATTCTAATTCTACTTTCTTGGCATGGATTGTTTTATATCATCAAAAAATTGTGAAATTTCACGCTCAAAAGCAAATTGGAAAAATCACATAATCGATATCTTCACTAGTGAAGATATGGAAAATACCTCACTGTATATTTTTCAGTATCGCACATTCTACTATATAATAAATTATTATATTTCAATAGTTTAATTCTTATGTGTAAATTTCACTGAACGTTAACGTTTGTGTAGCAACTGCCGCAGGCTGCGGCAAAATCTTGCAAAAAAGCCGGAAAAATATTTTGAAATTAACCATGAAATAAGTTATTTAGCTTACCTTGTTACTTTGTGACAAACCAGACGTCCAAACACTCAGTAAAGATGAAAACATCCGAAATTTCCACAGAACATTTGCCGACATCACGATATATATATGTACGCTAGATTTTGGTTCAAAGTAAGTTCCAATCTTAGTTCCCATCAGCTTTCGGGACGTAATAAATTAGCATGCTGCTTGTTTAGGTATTTTATATTAACCTTCACATGCGAATAAATTAAAGATATATAACTTAGCATATCGGCTTCCGCGATTGGATACTTGTTATGAATAGGCACGTGCTCGTGTATCACTTTCAGTATTACCGACTTCATTTTATGACAACCTGCCACGGAACAAAGAGCTTAATCATGCGACCAAGAGCACGCTTCATCTCGCACGATGTGTAATGAATGCACATGGTTTCCTTTTCATTATTTTGAAACCCTCTTTTGACCAAACTCTCTTTCCTAGGTGATGTATTGATTAGCGTATTCGTTTCGTTTTCGTGGATACGTGTGAATCCTAACCCGACATGGTAGAGAGGCCAAAACAGTAACGACTCGAGGAGCCAGAGGAACGGAAAAAGCTTTCGAAACGTCAAATTTAAATATACGTTTGGACGATTTGACAGGAACTATAAGTGTTTCACTGATTTAATTCAACAACAAGACAAACACAATTCTATACAGCTAACTTTACCGTGTTTCTGGTCATAGAAAGGAATTCAGTGGCATGCTGGCAGGGGGGGCACGGCCCACCCGGCTGGCAATTCTTGCAGGGCGCAAAAATGAAAAGGGGGCGCCGATCCCGCGCCGTGTTTTGAAAGTGGGTGGGAAAAAACGCATTCGAAAAAATATAGTTACTTCCGCCGAGAAAAGATGTGTTTATAGGCTTATAAACAGACTAAGCGCATATAGGCGACAAAGTGATATATTAAATTATACAGACTATTTTGTCTAACCGTATTTGCTGATTTACTATACCTCACCGCTCACACGAAATCGTTCATATAGAAACATGAACTGTGATCACATACAATGTCTCATCGCCGGAATATTGGTCAGGTTTCGAAGCGATCACGGGAATCATGCCCTTTTTTGCTGGTATTATGCCCTTTTATTATGCTTCACGAATCATGAGAGCGGTGCAAATTAGATAGTTTAAGTTATGATAATGTAAAGTTGTGTACGCAATTTAGTTGTTTGCGCTAGAATCATCATGAGTAATGTGAGTAATGAAATAATCGGCTGAAACGCGCCCTTTTGGCAGCCAGGCAGGGACCCCGTCCAGTCCAAGCTTCTCTTGTGTGTCAAAGCCGCTGTTTTTGAATAGCTGGAGGGTTAGTGTCGTACCTTATAACTATGTAACTGCTCACCCTCCAGCTATTCAAAAACAGCATTGACACTCAAAAGAAGCTCAGATTGAACCTCCACTCATTGAGTGCGAGTGTTGATGATAAACTTTATTTAACACGCTAACATTGTCAGCTAAAGCTGGTTTCCACAATGCGCGTGTGAACAAAAGTAAATTTGCGAAAAAGATAAAGGTAGTACGAAATTACTTGCATATACTGTATGTGAAAAAGAAAATATACCATAATATACGTTAATTTACTATTTACAATCATGCTTTAATAAGTAAGTGTCATGCAATCAAGCTTTTAGAATACAGGCGTAAAGCGTTTTTGTAGATGGAAATTTCGAGCGGAAGATTACGAGGCAGCGCTCTAACCAACTCTTCGTTCAATCGTTCTATCGAATGAAATGCACAAAATCTTCATACTTATACTCTGTAGCTCAGTTGGTTAGAGCGCTACACTGGAATCGCAGGACCGCAGGTTTGATCCCTACCACAGGGCTTATATAGTTCATTTTTCCCAGCTGTTCCTGGTTAGATCTCAAAATTGTGTATAATCTTCCACTCGAAATCTACAAAAACCCTTCAGTTTTTCACATCGACGTTTCCCGTCCTGCATCCTCTCGATTGTGTATGCTACAATTTATATAAAAAAAAAAAAACAAGCACGAGTAGTGGGGCGGATAGGTGCGAACCTTAGGTCAAATTGTGCACTTGAGGCAAAATAATGGTATTTGGCAAGATGACAGTTCTCGATGTGCTTATTAATCGTAGATTAATAAAAAAAAATTGATGTGAAAAATTAATGTGGATTTCTCGAAATTTAGTTTTTCTTACAATTTGCTTATAAACATTACATTCAACCACTATCTCCCCAAAAAAGTAAAATTTTAACAGCAAAATTGCATGAAATACCGTTTATAGCAGGTGCAAACGTCACGTAACTCAAAACTGGGGAGGAAAACATGCAAACCGCTTAATATATAGTTTATTATAATAGTTTTCTGCAAACTTTCTGATGGTGTAGGTCATATTCACTAAAGTGAACTTGAAATATCATGGTTTTTATAGCGAAATTGTAAGAAAAACTTCATTTTGAGAACCATCGTTTTGCCAAGTGCACAATTTTTACAAGTATACGCCTAACTATAGAGGGTATTTTTTAAAGGCGATCATAATTGCACGAGTTCGAAACGAAAGACGAGTGTAATTTGAAGTCTTTAAAAATCTCGTGAAGCTAGGTCAGGCTGAAAATTTCTTTTAGTTTCCCGTTATATGAGAGGTGGGACGAGACCTTTGCCGTGATGTTTATAAGGACGGAACAACATTATAGACATAGGGAAAACCGAAATAGTTTTATACATTTAGCCTTGATAAAAACTCAAAAAGCACAGTTAATTTTATTAACTGTGCTGTAATGATAAAATTAGCAATCCAAATATGTAGTAGAAAGGTGGTAAACCTAACAATATCACGTACAATAACTTATTTGATTCATCACTGCATTCATCAATGTCATAGCGTCAAATTTCTTAAAAGCACGTGCAAATACAGAGGTGCAAATACTCGAACAAAACTTCATGGACTATATTTAGCAGAGTTCCGGGTAGGGTTCCGAGTTTTACAAGCACCCGTAAATCTGCGAGTGTCTCCATAAAAATTGCAATCTATATGTTCCAGATTTTTACATTAGTAGGCATCGAAAATTCAATCTCAGAGATGAATTTTGAGGTTTCAATGGTCCATTGGGTGAACCTGAGTTTTATTTTAAAACAGCCATAAGATTGCTTCGTCAAAATTCATCTCTTGGATTAGATTTTTTCGTTGCCCGCTAACAATTAGCTGTGTATATATCTGCATGAAACATATAATTGTTATTGCAATTTTCTCGGGACACTTTTTATAGTGAGATGTAACTCGACTAGTTGACTGATGACAAGAGTCGCTGATAATTTGCAACTATGGGTGTCCAGCTTAAGAACTTTGCCCGCAGCTTTTAACATAAGCCTGCAATTCTCCACAGCCACTCAATGTAAAAACAGAAAAATAATTTATTGAACGCCGCGGCTAGCGCTGGACCCCCACAAGGCATAAAGTAGCAAATGAATTGCACTTTGTTCTACAAAATGAATTGCAAATGTTCTACCAAAGAAAAACCTCTACAAAATGTTCTACTAAAGAGAACAGAATTTATATCTGGTAGAAATAATGAAATAGTCAAACTAAAATGAAACAATATTATTATTATTATTATCAAAGTATACTCTTTAGTTTTGTACTTTTTAGTATATAGTTGATAGCAGATGATTTTTAATATAGCACATGCATATGTAGAGGATTTAGCAACTGCCTGTATGTTATAAGGTCATGCCAATAAAGAAAATAAATACAATATACAATAATCTGTTTTGGACTATGCTGCAGAGCCTTAGCCTGCGCGCAGTAAAGTTCCTAGAGTCTGGGAATTTGAGAGTCTGGGACTGCGCGCAGGCTACAGAGCCATACATGCAGAGCCCGAAATAATGCATGTTTAATAATTGTGCGAAAAAATGTCTTTCCAAAACGAAATTCGATCCAAAACTTTCAAATCACTTTATCGATTTCATTTTGACCGGCGTCCCTTGGCCTTGGGTAAATCGCGTCGATAAATTATTAAATAATATTTTATGCAAAACACTATATACAGTATTGCTTCTGATTTGAATTGAACTCTGCTAATCAAGTTAACCAATTAACAGGAATCCATTGCGGTTCCTTTGCCACGAGATATACGGCTGTATACAGGCGATCATACGCATCTTGAAGGTCATCGTTAACAATTGTTAAATCAAAATAATGTCCATATTTATGTTCAATTTCTTCTGCCTTCATTATCATATCTTGCAGCTCTGTGACCTGGAGTGACAACATAAGACATTTTAATCACAAAAAATACCCAAGGGCTTGGATGCAAGTGTTCTATAACTGCAAAATAATAAACGTTCTGTAACATAGGAAAAAGGCCTCAAGCGCGACAAGGGTCTTGTGGAAGATTAACATACCCTGTATACGGTACGCAGAAGAATTAGCACCAGCTACGTGGTCCACGATATTGTGGTTGCAAGCATAGTTCAATGCAAATATCCCACCTCCTACAAGCATGCAATCATCAGTCCCTTACCAAAGATCCGTCCACCCACAGACCTAGATAATGACTTCCGCCAAGTTTCCGTGCTACCACAACTAGCAAAAGTTATCGAGAAGCTACAGCTCGAACTCAATACATCCAGTTTCAAGATCAAAACAAACCAGCACGCTTTCACGAGCAGTCACTCCACCGTGTCTGCCCTTACCTCCATATCTCAGAACTGGTTCGACTCAACGGACAACTCCTCAACCGGTAGACAAGGTGTCCACGCCCTATTTGTTGATTTCCGGAAGGCGTTTGACTTGGTCGACCATAAGATCCTTCTGGACAAGCTTGCTGATATGAATGTAACAAGGAGTTTCTGGTTATGGATAATGAGTTTTCTGGAGGGAAGAACACAACAGGTAAATTTCCAAGGTGTACTATCCTTTACTGCATCATGCATGCTCAGCCGGCGTCCCTCAGGAATCTGCTATCTCGCCGACCCTATTCAACATACATATTAACGATATGGAGGAAAATGTTTCTGAACAGGCATGTGTCAACACAACCAAATATGCGGACGATTGCACCATGGATACATCCATAAGAACAGGAGAATTTAGCGATTTGCAAAGCGCTCTAGACTCAGTGCAAAGTTGGGCTGTGGAAAATAAAATGGAACTGAATGCCAAAAAAGACTAAAGATATGTGGATTAACTTCACCGAAGCACCGCCCCCTCTACCACTGCATATAGGAGATGCTATCATAGAAAGAGTCGATAATTTCAAACTCTTGCGAACCTGGTTTCAAAAGGACCTGAAATGGAATAAACATGTCGAGGAGACCACTCGCAAAGCAGCTAAAAACCTGTACTGCCTACGAGAATGTAGAAGAGCGAATCTACCAGTCGAAGTGGGTCTCACCACTTATTTAACTAAAATCAGGCCTATCCTTGAATATTGTTCTCCAGTGTGGGGTGGTCTGCCACGATATCTAAAGGACGAATTGGAACGTGTCCAAAGGAGGAGTCTACGAATTATTGGCCTCCCGCATGGTTACCTGCCAACTCTCGAAGAGAGAAGAATTGAAGCCACATCGAGAGAACTCGATAATATCTTAGGTGCTCCAAGTCATAAAGTGTTGGTAAAGTGTTGCATCGCAGTTGCGTGAGGGAAATTGCTCGTGTTAGGCATGTCCCGATTGTGCTCGGCAACCTTTGAGCAACGTTTTGCGTTTGGAGCAACTTTTTCGGTTCGAGCAACTTCAAGCAACTCTTTACTTCTTGACTGAATTAGAAGTGCTGTAACCTTGTTATGACTGAATTAGAAGTGCTGTAACACTTGTCAGTTTCATCATCAAGGCACTAATATCAATGTCAATACTTTGTTGCAAATTCCTTTGCCTTAATGACTTTGGAGAGCCTGCGTGGCATTGATTTAATTACATTTTGAACCAATTTAACTGGAATTGCTTGCCACTTCTTTTTAATTACGGATTTCAAGTCAAACAGTGTTCGTGGTGGAGGGTTCGCTTTACTAATCGCCTTTTTTAGAAACATCCATAAATTCTCGATAGGGTTCAGGTCAGGACTTTGGGCTAGCCAGTCCAGAAATTGTACCTTGTTACTTTTTTTCCAAGTTGTTACAACCCTTGCCCGATGAACAGGTGCATTGTCATCTTGTAAAGTTGTGGCTTTGCCATTGCGCGGTCTCTCACCAATCAAGGGTAGAAAATGCTCTTGTAAAATCGTACGGTACTTTGGACGCGGTAACAGTTCCCATCCACAGTAGTAATTGGACCACTTCCGTCATAAGTGATACAGCCCCAGACCATAAGCGATGCTTCGCCGGTCTTGACAGTGGCAATGGTATATCAAAAATTTAAATCTAAATGAAGAAATCCCTAACCTGGAAGCCGTAACGTCTGAACATATTGAAGCTATTACCAAAACCCTAGAGGAAAAATACTTAATATTCTGGAAACATAAACTTGAAAATTCATTAAAATTATAACTTTCTATTCAACATTCAAAACGAACCACAATCTCGAAAAATACTTAAGGCTGCATTCCAGTTACGCGTTTTTCATACGTGCGTACACGCACGTAAAAGTTGAATTCGATTTACATCCTACTTATGAAATAACTAAATTTATAAAAGGACAGCATTCAGTTTTGTGTATGATTTAATGTGTATTTATTAAGGTTATTTGCACTTATATGAAATTTTAAGCGAATTCAACTTTTACGTGCGTGTACGCACGTATGAAAAACGCGTAACTGGAATGCAGCCTTTACGCCCGTATTCTAAAAGCTCACTCACACACACTCAATGAATTGCGAACGGTTAGAAAGATAGGACGTAAACTATTTTAGTACTTGGTCTTGGATGCCAAAACTGGATTTCAGTCGTTCGAGCATTATATGATGGTCGACAGTGTCAAATGCAGCGCTCAGATAAAAAATTACGAGTAAGGTAACATGCTGACGGTTCATGTTCATTCAGATATCATGCTTAACACGTAGTAAAGCCGTCTCCGTACTATGATACTTGCGATAAGCCAATTGTGCCTTTGGATAAAGTTGGTATGAATTCAAGTATAGTTATTTGTTTGATTAAAGACAGCAAGTTCTGTTAATTTAGACGTAAATGTGAGATTACTGATAGGGCGAAGATTCTCAAATACCGTTTCTGTTTTTGATTTTTTAAGCTGTGCCTGGACTAATGCTTGCTTCCATTCATCACAAAACACACCAGATTGTAATAATAAATTGATCATCCTGGTAATCACAGGAAGGAGAATATCTTGACATTTTAAAACCAATGAAGTGGGCATTGGGTCCAGAGAGCACGATTTTTTACTTGATTTAAATATCAAATCTTTGACATTTTCTTCACTTAAGATGTCAAAGGAATCAAATCGGGACGTCAGTTCAGTAAATTCTGGGACAGACGAGTGGCTTGTTTCAAGGGCAGAAGAATCAAACTCAGCATGGATGCGCTCAATCTTCTGGACAAAAAATTCCCGAATATCATTAGCCATCACATCAGGGCCCACATATTCGGGGAAAAGATCAGACCTTTGTGTAAAGAGAATTTTAGCGGCTTGAAATTCCAAAGCAATCTTCCCAAAACTTATGTATACAATTTTGGAAATGTTTTCCCAGCAATCTTCTCTGGAATCAATACAATTTTATTTTCTCAAGTTTTGAAATAAAGGAACGTGCAGATAAATACACAAGCCAAAACATTGGGTAATATTTAACATATATAGGGTTAGCGGTAATCATGCGTGATGTTCACATGAGGATTTAAATATACGCATCGCAAAACATACGCAGACAAAAATGTACCGCTGTATTTTTTGTATCGTTGAACGCGGTAACAAAGATAGCTAGGTATGGCTACGAACAGTTTAAGTTGTCTTGAAAGAATTGCTTTTTCTATTAATAATATTCATACTTCAAGTCAAGCAGTACAAAAATACGTCCTTACCGTAAACACTTTCTGATTATGATTTTGCAATGAAGAAGACTTGACTCGTGACATCAGGCGAGTTTGACGAAGTCTTTGTAATGATGGAGGTTTAACAAAGATCACATAAGGAAGCAGTTCACGTGTTCGAACGATTGCCAGTTCCTTGGAGAAAAATTAAATAGAGGCACAATAATATTACAACCATTAATATTAACATACGCCATTTGAAACGGAAATTACCTGTGGAGGTACAACAATGACACAACATTTCCCAGAGTTCATCAAGGTTCTAACAGATTCAATCAAAATACGCTCAAAATCTCCATTGTGTTCGGTGGTAAAGGATCTGCGCGTATTCGATGACGTCCTACAGTTCTCACTATCAGTATAGAAAAAGTTATTGTTCTCATCATCAAGTTGTTTACGAGAAGGATCTAGGAGAATAAAATTTGAAAGAATGAACACCAGCTTAACGATCCGCCAATGATAACGGCAAAGATTCAAAACGTGGTTATACAAGGAAGGCAATATTACATGCGACTCTCTGCTTTCTTTGTAGATGGTTCATACTAGTTGCCAACTGCGATGTTGGCCTGTTTAGCATATAATAACCTGCGCATGGCAGGTGGTTTTCCGGCGGAGGACTTGCGGGTGGGAAAATGAAACCGGGAGAACGAGTGCACGGGAGGGCGAAAAGAACCGCCTACCGATTTTCCATACATTTTTCACTGCCGCCTATTTTAAAAGGCAGATGCAAAATGGAGATGAAATCAACATCTGTTGCATTAACCAGGTTGTCATACGTCTTAAGGCGGATTTGCAGTTCTCGCGCGAAGCTCCTCGCAGCTCGCTGCGAGTGCATGCATGAGCACTTTCATCCAATCACAATGCTAAACAGTTAATTTTAATTAGATGCAAGCACTCGCAGCGAGGAGCTTCGTGCGAGGACTGGAAAACCGCCTTTACTAGGCTATCGTATTACGCACATAGCCAGGATTATCAATCCACCCGTCCAAAAATGTTTCCCTTGGAATAAATTTGAAATTAGATCTTTATCTTCTAAAAACGTGATTTTTAGCAGTCAAGAGCACGTGTAAGATTGCACTCAAAATTATAGAGCAAACAGCATGGATGACCTCACGAACATAATCGCCGATGTTTTTGTTAAAATCGACTTAAAACACTAAATATTTCGCTAATTAATTAAGGTTCGATGAGTGTTCCAACGTTTTAAATAAAATAGAATGCATGTCGTATTCTCCCAACATTCCCGGCGTGCATTATCACATCATAAACGCACGCGACTCATTTTCTATTTCTTAATTAATGACAGCTAACCAAGGTCGCGTGACTGCCAACCCTCATGCACCCGCATCCTCGTTTGACCCAGGCTGAAAACTACACTTGTCTACAATGAGAGAGCCATAAAATCCAAAGAAAGCTGTACCAAAAGGTAGAATATCGAAATCTGAGAGTATTAATGACTTTTGCAGGCTGTGTAATTGTTCAAGTTTTACTTCTCGTTGACACTTGGTATGACAATAAAGCACAATTCGTTTTATGTAAATTTCGTTAGTTCTAATACGACTATAAGTGTTTCTACCTTATACCTCACCTGGCACATGGTTTTTTCCTTATTCTTCAACACTTATTCTTTATCGTGATTTTATAGTATGGCCGTTTTAGAGTTTGGACTGTCGAAATAGACATAAAAATATCTCGACTGGGATCACTGGCCTTCAAAGTTTGGCTTCAAATTTCCAGTTTGAGGTAGCGTTCCAGTCATACTCATACGGACTAAATCCATGACTGGTTGAATTTATCGCGCAATCGCGTTTCCCCATAGTCAGACTATAAAAACACAAGTGTTTCACTTCACACAGTCACACACGCCACTAATTTTCTAACAATGGGTCTTCCATCAAAACGTGGAAGTTATTTAGGCAACTTGAGTCCTACAATGCCTGAACGTGTGCAAAATATATACTTACAATTCACAGGTGTTATGAACCGCTCTGGATCGCTGGAAATTAGTAAACGACGAAGTTCATTTCGGCCAACCAATCGAGGTCCTTGGACAAAAATGAAAAAATGAGTAAAGCTATGTAAAAAAATGAGTAAAGCTGCGATTTGTCGTGTGCGATTCGTATTCGGGCGTATGAAATCCACAGCTGACGCCACAATTCCTCTTCATTCAGATTATGGGGAAATTTGAAATGCAACCACTTTACGCGTGCTAATTCGATTACATACACTAGAATACGAATCGTAAACGAGAAATCGCAGCGTGTAAACGTAGCTCAAGTTTACAACGCGCCATAGAAAAGATTTGGTATAAATGTCTTGACAGTTTTTGGCATCTAAGTCATAACTTGAAATTGTTGTGACTTATGAATTGAATGGAAAACAAGATATCTTAGTCAGGGCCGCAGAGAGGTTGGCGGGGGCCCGGGGCAAATACTTTTTTGGGGGGCCCCCTTTCAAAAAAATTTTTCCGGTAAAAATTTTTTTCCGGACAACAGTGTACCATTTTAGGGGTCAAAAAATTTTTTCAGGATTAAAAAATTTCCAGACGACTACGTTGCAGATACTTTCCAGGGACTTTATCTCATTTTTCTATGCCTTATTTCGGTACTTAGCCAAATAACACACATATCTTGTCCTTTGCGCGCAAATATTTAACACACAAAAAAGACTGAGCCCAACAAAATTTTCAGGGCCCCCAGCACCTCGGGGCCCGGGCAATTTGCCCCCCCCCTGCCCCCACCCCCTCTCGGCGGCCCTGATCTTAGTATACCAGGGCTCGAAATAACGTTCCCACGTTCCCGATCACAGCGATCGGCAATCACGACTTTTTGCCAATCAAATAAAAGTTTGGCCGATCAGGAGCATTTGCCCTCATTTCCTAAATATGCCATTAAATACACATCTGAACAGGAAGTTTAACTTCATTTCAAATTCGAGTTTAAATAATTAAATCTATGACGTTTGTGGACTTACATATACAATACTGACAATACTGATAGTGTAACTACATATAACATGTATTAGGCCTACAGTAATAAATTTTAGTTCAATTAGTTTTAATTATAGTATTGCATGTATTTTTTCACACAAAAGCAAGAAACATAGCAGCATTGTCAATTAAGAACTAAAACTTATTTAATATTGAAAGAGAAAAACCTACTAAAAATAAAAAATACTACTCTCAAAATCCTGTCAATTTGAAATTATTATGACAAAGACGTTCGTCGTCAGTGGTTCGGATTGCAGACTGTTGATGAGACGACAATACTTCATAGCATTGCGGCCTGTCGTATGACTCGTATCAACTAAACAAGAGTTTTTCGCGTGTTTTTGAATATGTTTCATATTATTTTTATTTGTCTTTTACCGCGTACAGGTAAGCATGTTCTTCAGAGAATGGTCAAATATATTTCTTGCGGATCAAGTTGAACGGCAACGTTGCTTCTTCGCCGATCAAAAACAATTTCCTGCCGATCATTGGCCGTTACTTCGAGCCCTGCTTACAAATGAATAAAGAAAAGCAAGGGAGGGGGGAGGGGAGCAAGGGAAGAAATTGACGCCAGTTATGTCTGATGTTTGCATACGTCGAATTGGATTCAGCTTGGGCATGCATGCTCAAAAGGAAACAAGACAAATTTGGAGACGTATGCTTTTAAATCAATACATGCAAAATCCGACGTTTAAACAAGCCTGCATAGCTTACCAACAAGAACAACAGGTCTTGGTATGTCAGATGATGGCGTCAGTTGAATAACCTCCTCATATGCAAGAATTGATACTGTTTCGAAATCTAAAGAAAGCAATATACCGTGTTTAGGCATATATATATATATATATATATATATATATATATATATATATATATATATATATATATATATATATATATATATATATATATATATATATACCCAAATTATATAATACACACTCATATCCATACCCAAATTATATAATACACACTCTAGAACATTTTCATCTTAACATATTACGGAGTGTACAATTACACAACTTAACATAACACTTGCAGAATTAGTATTGTTCGATGCTGAATTAATATAAACGAGTAGGTTTATGACATTCAGTATAAATTTCATAATTTCCAGTCTTAAAATCCGTCTGACCGTGTAGCTCAGTTGGTAGAGCGTCGATCTAGTAATTCGAAGGTCGCGGGCTCAAGAACCAGCCGCGGCAGACAACATCTTTCTGCTTGCGCTGGGTATGGAAATTATATAATACACACTCTAGAACATTTTCATCTTAACATATTACGGAGTGTACAATTACACAACTTAACATAACACTTGCAGAACTAGTATTGTTCGATGCTGAATTAATATAAACGAGTATGTTTATGACATTCAGTATAAATTTCATAATTTCCAGTCTTAAAATCCGTCTGACCGTGTAGCTCAGTTGGTAGAGCGTCGATCTAGTAATTCGAAGGTCGCGGGTTCAAGACCCAGCCGCGGCAGACAATATCTTTCTGCTTGCGCTGGGTATGGCAATTATATAATACACACTCTAGAACATTTTCATCTTAATACGTTGGAATTGTTGATAAAATATGTGTATACGTGGTTGTTTACTAGAGAGCAAATACAAAACAAAAAACTAATTCGGGCTACTGGAATGTGGTCGCGGCTGTTTAATAAAAACTGCTGCTTAATGGAGGACTATTTTATAGTAATTGTATGGGAATATTTTGGGACTTTAATACCTGGCCATTTGAATGTAGGGCGGCCGTTTAATAGAGAGTCAACTGTTGTTAAAATGAACTGTAAAGTTCTAAGCAAGTTAAGATCGGTTCTAAACACAGTTAATTCATTTCAGTTTCTTCTGCAATAGCTTTTTTGAGGAAAATTTTGACACGAATGTTTAATAATTTGTAGATCTATTAGTATTAATAGATTTCTGAAAGTTTCAGAAAGAAAGATCAGAAACTTTTCTGATTTGGAGTAATGAAGCACTGAGAGTATAATGGTTGGGTGTGGTGTTAGTTGTACTTTGTATCTTTGCAATTTTGAACAACCACTATAGTGTCTGCAAGTTGAAATTCAGGGACTCTACGGTATCAAGACCACGATAGTTCCATTTCGTAATTATCACTATTTAATTAATGCGATTGGCATGCACTTCCGCTATTGCTTACGGTTACTCAGAAACTAAGGCTAAGCTTCTTTTGATTGACTATCATAGTTATCTTACCATTTGTGTAGTTAGATGAGTACATGATCTTCGTTTTCTTAAATTTCTTTCTCTTAGCCATGGTTGAAAAAATATTTTCATACTCTAAAAAACAGAAAGTTTATTTTTGAAAAACAAGTTCATTTCCAGGCACATTTTACACAATGTACCAGAAATGAATAGTGCAGTAAGTTCAATCAACGACTCAGGAATAACTTTACAAAGAGTGCGGTTCATTTATGCTAGATGCTTCATTTCATCCCTGATTAACTCTCAATAAATAACTACAGTTTATCACACCCAACACGAACAGCATATCGCTATAATTCTTGCAATTTTGAACATAGCCTACACAAGCCTGTGATTTTATTACAAGGTATACTCACTTTTGCTATGTAAACACTTGTTTTTTAATGCCTTCTCTAGATTTGCTTTATACAGTCTCCTAAAAAGGTACATAGAGAATATAACATTAATACTTGTGAAAATATTAAGACATTAATAAGGATTCTCACCAATTTGAAATAAGAGAAATAGGTGGAGATGGCACAGTGCATGGTTTATATATGCATATGCCTGTAATGCGTCATTTGATTCATACAATAAGGATTGTCTAAATATAATTTCACCTCCAATTGTATGAGAGAAGAATGCTTTTTTAACAAACACCACAAGTTTCCGCCAGGCACTCAAAGAATTAATTAGCAACACTGGTCAATTACTGGACTTATATTGCGAGACCTGTTCGAAACTGATAGAGCTATTCATTGTTCAATATGTTACTTGGCGGTTTAATTAAGAAAAATAATTGCATGGGGGAAACACTAGCAATACCATATAAAGTACAACGCCTCATCATTACAATATAAGCAATCTAAAAGTTTTAAAAATGAGGCTTGATGATGCAAGTAAGCAAAATTACCTCAAAAACAAAAATTAGCGCTATAACTTGCCTTATTTAACAATTTAGTGTTTCTTCAATTAAAACGAATTAGTGAAAGAAATTTGATTGTCATAAATCAACATGTCTATTTTTCTTTAAAAATCCAGTTTAAAATAAACCTAGCCGGCCAAAATGTTTGCCATGCAAATATTTCCTAGGTTGCAATAAATAATCTATAGTATCCCAAATATCCCAAAGGTCGCGGGTTCGATTCCGACCCTGGTCAGGCAAACTTTTCAGCTTGCCCAGTGTGGGTGCACACTCAGAGTAACATAAAAAACATCATTGTAACAAATAAACTAGAAAATACATGAATGCAGAAACCCTCCCCTTGCTGACAAAACCATTGTATTTTCCGAACGGTGAAATATTTGAAGTAGTTGTCATGGTAACACGATAATTATTTAAATATTTTTTTACAAATGAAAATTATCTACATTACATTATCTACAATTAATTACAAAATTATCAATTTCCCAGACACATATATATGTTAGGTATGTTATTATTTATTATACATAATATAAGCTTCAATTTAAAATAATTTAAGGTAAAATTCAACCACAAACGTCTCGCAAAACGTTTTAAAGTGTTCTTTATAAAACTAAACTGCCTTTACTGATAAACTTTGAGTTTGAAATAAACTGAGTTCAAATTCTCGCATGCAAATAACTTTCTCATTTATTTAAAAAAAATAATATAATTAAAAAGGGAAATACATTGAAATTATACGCTGCCTTGTTTCATTATACGCAACGATCGGCTTTTTAAGCAATTATGTTAGCAAACAATACATCATTATTTAAAACAAACCTTCGTTAACGTCGGCGCCTTTACTCCCTTCTTTTAGCAATTCTTTCCACGCAGTCGTTATAATGCAAATTTTCAATTTGACCAATCAGGCTAACCAATTTAACCATTTTCAATTTGACCAGTGAGGATAACCACCCACGGTTGGTCACCCACGCCCGCGATGATTGATGAACTTTAGTCTTCGCTAATGCTTTCCTTTCCCCGGGGGTAAATAGCCAGGCGGAATTGGTACCCTCGCACGGCGCTCGGCGCCGTTGGCTCGGGGATTATACTGATAGAGTTGTCATAATTGGGCTAATCGAAGAAATAGCATAACTTTTTGAGTTTGCTCTACCACCGTCATATTTAATGTTTGTTACCTTTCCTGCAATATTTGACTCGGAATAAGTCCAGTTTGCTCTGAGCGGCATCCCACTTTTCTTGCCTGAGAAACAAACGTATAGCAATTATATGTAAAACTCTTTGATAAATCCGACTTGATTTGTTTACTTCCTACTGCACGTATTCACGTCATGATTTTTGTACTGCATTATAACATTTTAGGATTAGATGCTCGCAATTAAAAAGAAGGAATAATAATATTTGTTATATAGCTAGCGTGAACACCAAACGTAATTGGCTGATTTGTGGTCACGTGACTTCAGATAAATGTAATGTTTCCCGCCGGGCAACAAGTGAAAAATTGTTGCCCGCCCCGACCGGCCACGTACATAAATAAACAAAATGGCGGCACAACTCAGATAATTAGAAACTACGATTTTCCAAGTTTGTGTTCAAATAAAGAATATAAAAGAGAAGAAAAATACACAACAGGCAACAGGATATGCTGCTGAAACCGTTTAAGTAGGTTCTTTTAATTTTAACTCGTTTACACTATAGAGTTTTCGTCACGAGATACAATTGTTGTATGAATGTTGTTGAAGTTGATTTTTGTTCGTCGCTATATAACAAAACACTTAATGCCTGTTCCCTAGGGAAATAGTTAGTTTTGTTTTCCCTCGAATCTTAATGTTTCCCTCGACTTCGTCTTGGGAAACCGATTGAGATTCTCGGGAACACAAAACTATTTCCCTCGGGAGCAGACATTAAGTGTATTATAGTATATAATCTTTATCGGTCCACAGTGCAAAATTTCTAAGTTAGATCAAAGTTTCTGCGGAGAAGTCAGTTTTATACTTTTATTTTATAGTAGAGAGTGAGATACTGAAAAATACACAGTGAGATATTTTCCATTTCATTAGTGAAGATATCGATCACCACGTGACTTTTAGTTTTTATACAATTTTAGTATTTAGTATTTAAACAAAACATTACACGGTGGCTTGAAGATATGACTTTTATCTTCTCGTGTTAAAAACAATATTCTACTCACTCCCTGCGCTTGTTCGTAAAATATTGTTTTCACCACTCGAAGATAAAAGTCATATCTTCGCGCCGCCGTGTAATATCCTCTATATATATCACAATATAAAACCGTGGATGCTTACTATAACACTGTCTCCCGAAAAAGGGTTATTTTTGACGTCAAAACGTAAAAAATAGGTACGCGCTGCGTACATGTGGGTAGCCTGCATTAATTGTTGTTAAAGTTGGAGTAATACCGAGGTTGGACACGCGCTGCGTACATGTGGGTAGCCTGCATTAATTGTTAAAGCTGGAGTAATACCGAGGTTGGAGTAATACGCGCAACAAAATTGCTGCAGCCAAAATTTCTGCAACAAAATCTGATTTCAACGCATTTTAAGTAGAAATGTTGACAAAACATTTCAATTAACATGCGCAGAAATCAGATTTTGTTGCAAGTTGCTGCAATTTTGTTGCCCATATTAGTATATTACTCCACCTTAATTGCTATTGTCAAATTCCGAATTTACTGAAGGAAAGTATTAAGTAAATTGAACACAATTCAAATATTATACACACATTTAATCACATACTGAACATCAGATATGACAAAAATACGTAAACGACTGTTACGTGCATTTTTCAATAAGCATAAACAGATTTAAGAAGTTACAAAGTATTTTAATGTGTCAAAAATAATTTGCACACTGAACAGACAGAACAGTACAAGGTCTTTAATATGTATACGAAACAAAATACATCACACGCCGAAATACAGACAGTACGAAAAACACTTAAGACAAGAACAGTTCTTGTTCAAGGACAGCATACATCAAAGACAAAGCATCAGGTTTATAGGCTGCGTATATACAATTTTCGTGAAGTTTGAGTTTCAAGGATAGTCCATGCAAAGATCTAAGGACGATGTTTTCCAGCGGAGTTTGAAAAAGATCAACATATATTTATTTAGTACAGTGATGATTGAATTATTTAAACAACGACATAATCGATCTCATATATATTGGTAATGACATTCAATTTGCTTTCAATATTCGACAAATATATCCCTAAGTAAAAAAGCGCTAATATTCCACTGCCTAATTTAATCCTTGTGTAAACCGTGCTTGGCTTTCTCTTTGCCTTAACTTACACATTCGACTAACCCGATTCCAATGACGTGGCCTTACAAACATTATGTAAGCAACGACATACTCGATTCTATATACCTATATGTTCGTCATTCGTCAACATTCCTTCGATATAGACTAACGTAAATATGTCCAAACGTCGCGCGCTATATCACTAATTACTATATTTTTCTAATACGTATAAAATGTTTGATCAAACTGATATGTCGTGTTTAAATATGACATTACACGATATAAAACAGACCCCGTGCGCTAATATTAACCGCAATGACCCTTGTACAAGCAGTGATTATAAAAACAACGACATATTCGATTCTATATGCGTTGGAAATGACTATCGACCTGACAAAACATATTACAATAAAGACTTTACTAAGAATTTATACACATCTCTGTACGGTATGAGCGTTAGTGAACTTAGCCTGTGGTCTATAGACGGTTCGTATTTCAAGGATAAAAGGAACCGCGCAGCAGGACACCGCGGACACGAAGGCTACAGCGCCACAGAGCCACAGCGCCTGACTCGTCCCCAGTCGCTTACCTAACGCGCGTTGAATGACCCAACGCGCGCTGAGTGATGGGAATGTGACGGCGAGGGAAGCGACTGGGAAATCCTAATTCAAGATGGCGGACGTTATAATGGCGGACGCTGTTTATCGAAGAGCGAGAAAGGGACGAAATATTTTCAAGGCCGTTTCACGAGGCGTATCTGACGAATAAAGTTGTTTGTCCGATGGCTGAATGCCTGGAAAACTTTCGTTTTTTAAAGAAAGTGGACTTGCGCATCATTTCCGCACTGTTCACAACCGACAGATGGTGCCGCAAGATACGAAGAATTCAGCTTTGACCATGAAACGTATGTTTGGCGAAGAAACTTTAAGATTTATTAAATATATCTCTTTTTAAATTGACCACTCTCCTCTGTAGAGGCTTTGTGTTTTGTTTTGGATTTTTTCAAGTCCCACGCTCTGCCTCTCAACTATTCTGCCTGCAAACTTCGAAAAAAACCCAAATTAAAACACAAAGCCTCTACAGAAGAAAGTGTAAATCGACCGTAATGTTGGGGGCATGTTGACTTTACCATAATTCTTTGCAAGAAGAAAACTTATCTTAAGAAAATATTTGAAAATACAGCATCAAGGCCATAAAATTTGTAAGATATAATCACAGCTTTTATCAATGTTATGCACCAGTCAAAGTAAACCCCGACCCCCCCCCCCACCCCGGGATATAGGTGGGGATTGGCTTTGAATACCGTACCAAAACAGACAAATGCCCCACAATATGGGACAAAATTTTCTAGCAAAAAACAAAAAATGCCCCACCCCCTGGGGGATAATTGTAAGTCGTGTGCGTAAATTTATCTCCTGCATAATATCTCCCTGACAATCTCCGGGCTGCGCGCCGCATAAACCGTCCACATTTTAAAATATTAATATTTTGTTCCATTTGAAACTATTATTATTATAAATCCCCACCAAGTCCCCTCTTTGCCTTGTAGCTCAGTTGGCAGAACATTGGACAAGGTAGTTGTCCCACCGCATGACCATGCAAACTTTTCAGCCTGTCCGGTGAGGATATCCACTCAGAGTAAAAAAAACAACATCATTATGGAGAGTCTATACATAGTCATAGCAGATTAACTCAAGTTAAATTACATGTACATGCTCTATTTAACCACGGATAATAAAATAAATTTATTTTATTATCCATGATTTAACACAAAACAACCCTTCACAACTGTAAAAAATTATTGCTACATTAAAATACGAGTGGGATGTGTGTACAGTAAAGGTTTTGTCTTTTAATCTGATTCACTTCCAATATTTTCATCATCAGACTCATTAACATCTAATTCATTCATTATTTCATACACTATTTTCAGTTGAAAGTGGCCAGAACTTTCCTTTTCCCACTTGCATAAGAATCAACATTGTTAGTGGAAATTGACGCCTTTTTGGGATCACCAAACTTTTCTACTGTTTTCCTACCTGGAACATATTAAAAGAACCTCCTTAAAATAAAATGTGCTGCCTTGAGTTGATCAGGGAACGGATCATACGAAGGGGGTAGGGGGGTTAGCTTCCTATTTCCTCTGTGGGGGTGGTATGGATCGATGTTTTCTGGAATGACCCATTACAAAAATCAATGACGTGAGAAAGAATGCTTCAGTATGCTTGTCTGACATTAGACAGAGTAAAATTCTGAATTAGGGTGCATCAGAGTGCATTGCCACTTAAAGGGTTAATAACACATACTGTATGTAGTCAGAGGCCTATTCGTGGCTGGGGGGGCTTGGGAGAATTTATTATAATTATATACACAGGGACGCCGGAACAATGTGAAAGCAAGGGGGGCAGATTTTTGCTAAAGGGCACTTTTGAATTGATATATACTGAGAGATGTTTGCAAAACATCGGGAGTTGAACTTCGCCTAATCATGTTTTCTATTTATTGGATGATAGGGGTGTGAGGAGGTTCTCAGCCAGGCGATTGTGTTATTCTTGAAGCCCGATGACTGCATTTGTTGCGTTTTCTGAAGCAAATTCGTAAAAGAATCACACTAAAATTTTTAACAATTCGCTATTTCCCCAAGGCAATTCTATAAATTGAAGGGCACCTTTGCCCCCTTGCCCCTCCTGGTAAAGGGCAACGGGGGCGGCTGCCCCTCCTGCTCCCCCATTTCCGGCGTCCCTGTATATACATTAGATTTATCAGATATATAATAGAATATACTCATACTATTTGATTCAATCTCATCATGTTTAATGTCAGAAAATTGATGAGCAATACACTTTTCCCATAGGTTAATAAAAAAACACTCTGTTAATTTATCAGTGAAGGAAAAACGTTTTAAATGATTGTATATTTACAATTATTGTTACAGAAATTGGAACCAATGGTTCTAAAAGGATTGAATCAATGGTTCTAAACAGATTCAATGACAATGGAAAATTTATTTCTGACCGTAATTTTTAATAGAATTACACCAACCATTCTAGATATGAAATATTTGAGAATTTGTTTCTCTTCATATAACTGGCAGCACAAAGTTTAACAAACAAAGTTGTACTCATGCTGCAAGCAAATTAAAACATTTAGCAGTTTAAAACACTGGCTCTTACAGTACTACAGGTATCTGTTGACATTAGAAAGGAACCAGGTGTTACTAATAATATATGTAATGTTATTGATATTCAAACGCCTGATAGTTTATTGTAATATATACAATATAATTGGTTTAATTGCATAATATAGATTTATAAAAAGGATACTGATTTTTGTTATCTTTTCTATACCTCTTGATGTAGACTCCAAGGAAAGGCTCTTTTACTGCTCGAGTTTATACGCGTGATTTTATGACAGTATCGTCGCCCAGATATGCCACAACCGTATCATTAGGTGTTTGACTGTTGTCGTGCAATTCAAAACCATCTTTTAAACAATTGTAGTGGCCTTTCTTTGATCCAATCGTTGTTTCCCTGATAGGGATTTTCCTGAACAATTGAATTATTATAAGCTATTTAATAAATTATAAATCCAATGAAATCTCGCACGCGATAAAGTTTGTTCAAAGAGATATATAATTTTGAATATATGAAACTATTTTTAAAACTTACCAACACAAACTCTCTTCAACGGTGGCAAATATGGAGTTTGCTTTGTTGATGGAGTCAATGTGTGCTTTCCTTGCGCGGGGCTTTTCACGTTGCCTTCTTCTTGTATAGGAGTGCTTGTTCTCCGTTTATCATTATCTGATGTAGGAGTCAATGTGTGCTTTCCTTGCGCGGGGCTTTTCACGTTGCCTTCCTTCTTGTATAGGAGTGCTTGTTCTCCGTTTATCATTATCTGATGTATTTCTTGTATAGGAGTGCTTGTTCTTCGTTTATCATTATCTGATGTGACGAAAAATGACAATATAAAAAGCGGTTTATGCAAATATTACGAAAAATGACAATATAAAAAGCGGTTTATGCAAATATTGCGATATTTCCAACAGAAATTATATGCCCTGCACAAAAATGACAATATAAAAAGCGGTTTATGCAAATATTGCGATATTTCCAACAGAAATTATATCATGGCTTGTATCCATTTGTCAACACTTACCATAATCCTCGTCATTCAGCGATAGATTATGCATAGACGTCTCCAAATCTTCCTCTGAACCCGACCAGATGCTTTCTAAGTCTTGCAAAGGCAACCTCTCGTCCAAATCTTCGCTCATTATCAAAATTTATGCATTTGCCGAGAAATGGACAGATTTGCCAAGAAACAGACACAATATTTCACAGTCCCTAACAAAACGCCTCGGGGCATTCCCATGGTCCTTTGCGTTAGAAGCAGTGTTAGGGACTGTGGAAGAGTCAGCCACAGCGCCACAGAGCCACAGAGAAACGGAAGATCGCGCTTCAGTCTCTCACATAGTGGTTAGCTGCGCATGCGCGGCTACCCACAAAAACGAGACTACATTCGTGATGAAACCTTATACGTTATTACCATTATATAGTCGTTTTACCACACAGGCTGTTTCATCCAAGAGGAATCATGGGATCGCCTCAGGAGTCACCTGATAATTCCTCTTGGATAAAACAGGCTGTTGTGGCAACCTTTCTGAAGTAAAACGACTATTCCTGCTCTATATCTATATGCTATCGAGCACTCTTTGGCATTTCGTGAACCAAACCACATTCGTATACCATCATATATATATATATATATATATATATATAATCTATATGCTATCGAGCACTCTTTGGCATTTCGTGAACCAAACCACATTCGTATACCATCATATATATATATATATATATATATATATATATATATATATATATATATATATATATATATATATATATATATATATATATATATATATAGAAGTAATTGTCTCAGAATGGGTTTAGAGGAGGGATTAAATGGGGTATGATGCCATGTAATATTTGTTCTGCGATAAAATGAATATTTGTACACTGTTATTGTATTGGATTTGGCGGTGGGTGCAGTAGCCGTTAGGAAGTCTGGATGATCTGTTCGAAGGATGATATATTTGAAGATCGTCTAGAACACGGCGGCTTGATGCAATCATTTAGGTAATGCCAACCCACGTAGCAAGAGAATGTCAACCCACGTGGTCATTCAGAGAAGTAACGTCGCTATAGTTCTAAAATAGTTATTACTGTAGTTGAATTGGTCCTTACACGGTCTATATTTTCCCCGAAATTCTAGTTGTATAAGAATTACCAACCAACCAACTTAACTTGGCATGCAAATTGCCCATCATTTCAATGTTTATTTACACTTTTGAGAGATGTTTTTCAGTTAAATGACATTCAGGTACGCAACAATGTATTCTGATTAGCGTGACACTGAAACCAAAATATTACATTTCTTAAAAGTGTAAATAAACAGTGAAATGGAAAATTTGCATTACCAAGTTATAAGTTGGTCTATTGTCATACTTACTTGCCACCACCAGGTATCAGTGCGATCAAATACATGCAAAATTTCATTTTTGCCAAAAGCCAAGCCAGCCTCTTGACACGGTAGCAACGAATCATTACGTGGATTGTATGCGAAATGACATTTTACATAAAACATCTAAAGTAATAGAAAGGTAAAAAGGCTACTGTGTATTAAATATATTACAAAATATAGAATGTCCAGAAAAAATACAATAGCTATACACAGCAAGTTTATACATGCCCATAGCATTATAAACTTAAGTTTATGAAACAAGCGTTAGGACAAGAGTAAAGTTATGCAAAGTCTCCTGGAGTACAAAGGTCTGGTACAAAGGTCAATCTGTGAATCATGTGGTCATACATGTGCAAAGCGCAAGGCTGAATTAACAACAAACCATTGTCAAATCTCTTCCCATGCATGCGGGAAAATAGACCAATCAGGTTTCACCTCTTCGTCTGCATAGTTTCCTTCTTGGATCAGTAAGCCTCATTGTGTCACTTGCAAGCATAATTGTATGACCTCTGCGGCAAAGTACTTCGAAATTACCACCCATCCCACCCTTCAAGGATTTTGCACCACTATATCATAACTGGTATCACAAAACAAATAAAAATCGGTAAATATTGTTTCGATATGCAATCCGTCATCAAGATTCACATGAAATGCAATTCATGTTGTGTTATAGATAAAGTATTATGGAGTATAGTTACTGGTTAATATGTTATTACAGGCACATCTATATTTTGTAATATACAGTATTGGAATTGACTTTGCAAGGTTGTAAAAATAAAAATATTTGGTTGTTTGGGGACGGAGTGCTCCCAAAGTTCACCCTCAATCCCATAGACTCACACAAATCAATGTATTATACAGTGTATTGTAAAGTAAACAATCACCATTACGGGGATCTAATACCCCTTGGACATTAAAGCAAACAATGACCATCACGGGGATCTACTACCCCTTGGACATTAAAGTAAACAATGACCATCACGGGGATCCATTACCCCTTGGACATTTAGGATGCCCACCTCGGGGATCTACTACACCTTGGGTAAAGTCCAAACTGGGGGAACCACAACCCCTGAGGACATATAATTATATGGGGCGACACTTAGGCCACAGTTTAAAGTATAATCGGAGCATTTCACCTCGACAACCCTTCTCCCACAACATTGTGTGTGTCATAGTTGTTTTCTTAATTGTCTTAGAATATTTGCTTAACGAATTGGTGCATTAAAGAAAAGTATAAGTGGGTATCAGTAATTTAATCTAAGAGATAAATTTTGATACCAAGATTATTGAAATTGGTCTATACACACACGTAAAAATCTGACATCTTACCAAAAAATGCGTTCGCAACAGGCTTGTAGCAAGTTTGTCAACAAGTTGTAACGACGTTGTCATGTTGTCAAATTGCTGCAAGTTTTCACTCACAATTTCCTAACAAGTTGCTGAATACACCTTTCAAGAAAGTACGTCATTTTGGCTATGGAGAACCAATATTATATGGCTGTTTTAAAACAAAGTCTGGTTCACCCAGTATATATGCATGTAAGTCATTGAAATAATGCATGGACTGTGTTCAGTATATACCAATAGGTTTGGTGACCCCTTAATTTAAACAGCCACAACATTGGTTCTACTTCACCAATTGTAATAATCTTAGTGTCAAAATTGATCTTTTAGATTACATTTTCGATACATACATAATTAGTTTCCTACATAATTACTGTAGCGGTGTAAAAATTATTGCATTTTCTCGGGATACCCTGTGTAACAATGGGTGTATATTTTTCAGCAGGTCCATTCTTTCACAACAAATTAATGGCCGGTAGAAGGGGGAGCCTGGGAGTGAGATTGATTACAGCATATCAACGATCAAACACGAAAACATGAAAATTGAAGTCGGAAGGGGTTTTATAGTAGAGCTGCTAACATTCTCTGGGAGCACGGAAGGGGGGTGACCACCCCTGCTGCCGTAGAAAAGACGATGATAATTAAATTACTTATATTTAATACAAACCTTATTTTCACGAGGAAACGTTCTGATAATTTCCAATGCGGGAACGACTTTCAGCGACACACTGTTTATGGAAAAATGCTAAAGATAAATTCAAAAAAATACAAAATAACATGGTAAAGAAACCTCTGGTTCTCCATATCATATGTTCTCCACTCTGGTATTCCCTATTTGAAGAAAATTCTGGTATTCCATATTTGAGTTGTCTATACTATACTTATTATATTGAAACAATTGATTTTCAAAAAAGCGAAAAATATTCAAGCACCAATACGGCGGGTCAACATATAACGTAGTAGTTTTTCTCATTTTTGCCCGAAATACAAGTACTGTGAGGACAAATTCAACAAATAAAAGCAAGCCCGGATTTTGGTGGAAACAGTGGGGAGGTGGAAACAATTTAGGAGAGGTGCAGCAGTCTAGCTCACGACCCCCATGGAAAGTCAGGGCTTACTGTAGAACAGGCCAAAGTCAACGACGTGACGTATGCATGTACTGTACATATGTATCAGTGTATTAATGAATTATGACCGTACAACTCATCCAATTTTGCCCGTCATTACAATTACTACAAAGTTTCTTTCAAAACATTAAAAGGGTACTTGACACAGAGATGAAGATATCACTGTTTCAATTTTACAGAAAAATTTTCATACGAATTGTAGACCCTAAGCAACCAAAATCATTGAAACTTCTGTTATTGAAACTTCCCCAAGGGCAGGTGCATGACTTTTCAGGGGATGTGCAAAATGATCTCAGGGGAGGTGCGCACCTCCCCTCAAAATCCGACCATGAATAAAAGGTAGTGCATGCTCAGAATGCAGGAAACGGCATTTCAGGGCCCGGAACCCCGTAGTAATTAACCCCCTCAGGAAAATCTCAACCCCCTCTACCAAATCAGAACAGATCCGCCCCTGGTAAACATAAAAACTATTCGATTGAGCTTTTTCTTTGGTTTACTTTCATTCAATTTTAAGGCCATATGATTATGCCCCGTACTCAAGTATTCCGTTCTTATCATGGAAACGTTTAGAAAGATATGACGTTAAAGATGGATCAGTTAATTTGGGTGTTGTTCGTGAATCAAACACGTAGCTTTCTCTTCGGTCGGGACAGTAATTGAAAGAATTATTGTCTTTGTATCTGACGATCGGCTCACTTAGATATTTACTCAACATACACTGCCTACATTGCACTCATATATAATTTTGTCTACCTGAAGAAAAACTTACCAAAAGGGTCAAAATATCTTCAATCCGAGCTCCTTTCACACTCACTCCGTTTATTTCGTAAATTTCATCACCAATTTCAAGTACACCTTTCAAAAATACAGAGATGGCAGAAATTATTCTGGGGCCGGTTGTATAAAACTCTTAATCACTTTTTTAATCACTATTTTGTAGTTAAATAGTGATTAACTCTCAAATACGCGCTTCTTATTGGATGACGTTTCCACTAACTATAGTTAACTTTAATCACTTTTTTTATACAACGGGCCCCAGATCATTACGCAACAAGGCTTTATTCAATCACCGATTCGCGCCCGAACCACATTGCGTCAGCGCGTGTCGAGTGTACGATTTACACCTGAGTAAGGGGAAGCAATGCCCGAAGTCTAAAATTCAATGTAATAAAGTGCAATAATCAATATATTCTAAAACCAGGATGTTAGGGTTGGTAATCCAAGTGAGAAAATATACATTTTAAGACCTAACCAGGAACGACTGCGAAAAATCGCGTAAGCACAAGGTCCTCTGGTAGGAATTGAACCTACGGCCCTGCGATTCCGGTGCAGCGCTCTAACCAACTGACCTACAGAGGCCAGCTGTTGAGCTGTAACCGTAAGTTCATGTATATATAGATAATCGGGTGTGCGGGTTGTGATAAGGTGGACTTGATTGACTTAGATTCTAAGGATCCGACCTCCCGCAACCACTCACAGTGCGATAGCTCATACTGATTCACGAAATCCACAAACACTATCGACGGAATAGGTTCGACAAGTATTGGATAATCTTTCATGAAAAAAACTTATCCTAGTCAGAAAGAAAAAGAACATTTACCACTTCTGCTCGCAGTTCCGCCATCAATGATCCTTGTGATGATACAACAACCTTTTAAAGGACAATGACGAACAGTAATACCCTAAAATGCATATATAGTCCAATGTAAATATTTCCACAACCGTAGTATACAAGAAGAGTTAATCTACTGACAGAGATAGAACTTTTAACGCTATAGCAAATTTAATTAAAAGATTGTATAATAAACACATTGCACCAAAAATACAAGCTCCAATAACTTCTTGCCCTCCGAATAAACCTGGAAAAAGAAATATTTTCAATGCGGAAGCGTTTTCGTTACAGTTTTTTTCCGTGCCAAATGGTAATCAGGCACCAACTGACCTCCGGTAAACGGAGGTCAAAACTCAATCCTGGATTGAGTTTTTAAACTGAATCTTTCCCCAACGAAAAGAAGAAAAAAACAACAAAAAATCATTTTCGCACGCTTTAGTTTTTGAAATTCCGAGAATCAGGGTTATTTGAGCTGGGTTGTTTTCCAAATAAAACGACATGTTTGATGTATACCGTATCACTGTCATCGTATATGTTGTGTCCTGTGCCCACCATGCTTAGATGGCATGCCTATTTGGATTTCTGATAAAAATTTCGATCATATCAACACAAAATGAAATGGGAGGGTTGAAGAATAACAAATATTACAAATAGAAAGTAAATTTTTCCAACTAAAATCTAAAATTTACACAACCTTGAGCTGGTAGAGTGAAAAAGCCGCAGAAACAATACGCTCCAATACGAGTACATCGATGCATGGCCTCTTTGGTATTGCGCAATGCTTACATAAGATTTGTCCTTAGACCCTCAGGGGCCGTTTGTATAAAAAAGTGATTAAAGTTAACTATAGTTAGTGGAAACGTCATCCAATAAGAAGCGCGTATTTGAGAGTTAATCACTATTTAACTACAAAATAGTGATTAAAAAAGTGATTAAGAGTTTTATACAACCGGCCCCGGGGCTATACATTCCTGCGTCACAAAAACAATCTGAATCAATTTGAATCTTCAAATTGAATTTGAATCTTCTTTTCACAACCGGCCCCGGGGCTATACATTCCTGCGTCACAAAAAAAAATCTGAATCAATTTGAATCTTCAAATTGAATTTGAATCTTCTTTTCAAAATCTGAATCAATTTGAATCTTCAAATTGAATTTCAATTTGAATCTTCTTTTCTAAAACGAGGGTCAGCAAAAGTCGAGGGTCAGCAAAAGTGCTTGGATAAAGCCCTGGTAATCGGCTAATCGCTGGGTCAAGCAGTCGAAATTAATACCACATTATTAGTCAAAGTGTAAGTTTTATAGTCAACCCAAAGTTCAACTGCTGAAATTTTAATTAATTATTTACATTCAAGCTTTTGTATTGTTTATTAAAACTATTTAAACACGGTAGCCATTCAACATTCGCTGGTTTTAAATGTTTGTTGCGAGTTTTAAAATGTTCCTATGAAGCGTCTTATCAAGGTCAAATTCAATCCCGTCAGGTCCTAATGCCTACTTTACATAGTTTATATATCATACCTAGATTGCAACCGGGGTGCATTCCGGGCACAAAACTTCGAATATCGACGGGGTGGAGTTTCTATACAGCTTGGCGTAGCGGTGTGTGTTTTCTAGCCAGTCTGCATGGTGCATTGCCTTATACATATTTTCAGCCTTTTGGTTTGTTTTCTACTGACCTTTTTAACGCATTGTTTCCATTTTCAAGATTTAATTTAAATAATACATACAGTATTATCAGTTTTAATTTAAAAAGAGGACAAGCTTCCTCAGGCTCAAGACTGTTAATTGGTCACTCATTATCATGATCTCTACATGGGCCATGGCTGCCTCGCTTCAGTTTTTGCCCTTAATTACCGCTATAGTTGCATATAGTGGAACCTTTACTTCATCTAAAAACGTCTATGATCTACTTGATTTTAGTTCACTTCATTTACCTCCACGAAAGTTACGATACCTGGGCTTGTTGGTGTGTTTCTTTGTACAATTGCGTGTCAGCAATATACTGCGACTCAAGATACAGTATTTAAGGCAATTCATCAATGACAAAATAATATTTCTCAGTTTATGTAGTATATTAGTTTATCATAATTTGATTGTATATAGATGAATTAATTTCTATATATGCTAATAATTTTTATGGACATAATAATGAATTTATTCAAACATGGCCATTTTGATTATTTATACAGTAGAATTTAGAAAACATTCCATACTGTTTATTGTAATAAGTTGGTTGATTTAAGCTACCGTGTATAAATAATTTAAAATAAATAATAGTTAAATAAATAAATAAATATCAAGCGGCTTAATACAAAAATTCGTGTAATTCATGACCATGCCAATCGATCAAATTCTGGTTCAACTTGGATGAGAAAATTGAATGGGAAAAGTGAAAACGTTGTGGGCAGAAAATAACTGAACGTGCATGCAACTTATGCATGCATAATTTACGCATGAATTGAGAACGGGAGTTACGCAATGTTAAGTGCCCTCCAGTTTTACTTTACCTTATTTGAGCCTGAAATTGAATGTATTAGGAGTTTGTACTGAATTGGGAAACTTGTTAAGCAAGCATGCCACTTTACAAAGTTTACGAGAAGACTGCATGCATGCTCCATTAAAGCATGCACCATTGTGCTCTGCCTCTATTGGAGTTCTGTTTTCGTAAAAGTCGCTAAAGTAACGTGCAAATTTTCCAATGTCTCAAATATGAACCTACATGGCTTATTTCTCGAAAGGTATTGGTGATCCAGTCAAATGGGAAATCGTATATGTTCATTTTGGGAAGCAGCCGTTATATATTGAGTACAGATAACAAATGACAATTTATACATATTCAATACTTGACGTTTTCTGATGGACGTACGCACTTGAGCACTCTTTATGAGCGTCGTCATACATAATGACGGATTTGACCAAGGCCGGATTTTGGTGGAAATAGGTGGAAAAAAATGTAGGGGAGGTGCAGCGGTCTAGCTAATCACCCCCATGGAAAGTTGGGCTTACCATATAGAACGGGCCAAAGTCAACGCCCTGACGTATGCATGTAGTGCATATATGTATCAGTGTATTAATGAATTATGACTGTACAACTCATCCAATTGGCCTTTCTCACGATGACGAATATCCGCCATTTTTGGGTGGCATCCAATTCTCGTTAACCAATTCAGATAATTAAAACAATGTGAAAAGCAATTTTTCAAAATAAACTAACTATTTACAAAGCAAACTTACCATCATATGTCAAAAAAATTATAAAAAGTCGCTGTTATGTGGACTTATCTCGCAGACTTCGGCTGAAATTCTACCCAAAAATGGCGGCGTGAGAATCAATCAATCAATCAATCAATCAATCAATCTGTTTAATTAAAACCAATTTGCAGTTTTTAAAGGAAAACTGAATTACATGGAGTACTAATATAGCATAAAAATTTATATTAAAATGTACATATATATATATTATATAAAATAATGTTTATTTAGTTGGGACTGTTAATTAACTATAAAGCTAATAATATTTCCTAGTCACGAAGTTTTTTAACCGTTCAGTGGTTTCTGACCATAAAGGTTGTTCGGCCGTTCTGTCATTCCTTAAGTCATAATCATGAGTTTTTACCCCGGGACGAATTTCCATAATTTGGGTCAAAGGGTTGTAGGGTGAAACATCACGTCGCAGAGATTCGACGAATTTCTTGCAAGAGATGTCTCTACGAGTACTCAGATACTGTAAGTTTGAAATTTTAAGGGCTTCATCATATAACAGATCTGGATAAGCTGTACTCAATGCTCTCTTTTGAACAGATTCGAGAATGTCAAATAATGATTTGGGTATTGACGACCATACAGGGGATGCATATTCAATTCTGGATCTGATGAATGAGATATATATTTAGACAATGTGAGATGCTTGAAGACCAGCCTTTTTTAACAGACAATGCGTATAAGCGAGAATTTGCCTTTTTCAATACCATGTCGACATGAGTATTCCATGACAAGTCGTTTGATATCCATACACCTAGGAGCTTGAAAGAGGACACAGTTTCCACCGGTTTACCTGCAACATAGATCGGGTTTTCATCATCAGATCCTTTATATTTAAGAAAGTTGATCAACATTTGTTTGCATTTCTTATAATTTAGTTCAATTCCACGTTCTAAGGCGTAGTCCGAGATTTCATTTACGACTAATGGCATTAAACTGGATGAAAAACGTGGTATAATCTCTAGGGCTGAGGTGTCATCCACAAACTTGATCCTACTGGGCCAGTTTTTGAGTAAGAAATTAATGAGAACAGCAAACAATAATGGACCCAACTTTGTACCTTGTGGCAAGCCACCATTTGTTTTCTTCCAAGAGGACATAGAAGTTCCCACCCGGACACATTGTTCGCGATCGCAGAGGAAGGCTTTAATCCACCGAATTATAGAGGGATGGGTTTAGTGTCTCTTTCTTATAAGAGATTTATATTTCAACCAGAAAAACTTACTAACTTGTACATGTGTTACTGAAGTATAATAATCAATATGGCCGACTTCTACGATCCATATTTATACCTAACTATCCATACTAATCTATTATGCATATATTAACTGTACATTATCACTAAACACTATATCCCTTTTTTTCTTCTAATTTTTTTATAATTAAAAATGTTAAGTGTATCTAACTGTTAAGTGTATCTAACTGTTCGCAAAAGACAATGTTTTAGAACAATTATTTTTAACTTCTAATTGATAATCTTAATGTCTAATATATACTGTTTGTACTTATCGTTACGATGCCTCTTCATAAATCAAGTCTCTCTGGAGCTCTTCCTTTTGTACTTCTGGATGAACGTCTTGGTTCAGCAACGACCAACGATTTATCTATCACTTGTTCATTAGTGTCCGGTTCTTTGAAATGTTCCGACTCGTCAATATGTTCATTTCCCGATGGTAAATCTGATTCTTCAAATTTTCTAACGTGTGAAGAATTGCGTTTGTAGCAAACACCTTCACCTGATTTGATTGTCACTTGTGAACCATTCACGTCAACAATCTCGTAAGGATCATGTTCATACATAGTTGTTGTCTTACACGTTTTACGCTGCTGCAGTAGAACTTTATCATTAACTTTGAGGTCAGGATATTTTGCATTCTTCTTGTCATCCGCATATTCCTTTCCTTTCTGTTTGAGAACTGCATCCCTATCACGTACTTCTTCATCACATTTATCAAAAGGAACCAATTCAGGTATCTTTGTGCGAAGACGTCTCTTGAATAACATCTCATCTGGGGCTTTTCCAGTAGTCCCATGAGGTGTTGTACGATACGCTGTTAGGAATTTGTTAAGTTCCTCCTCTAAATTTCCTCCTTGCGCATAAGAAATTTTAATTACTTTGTTTAGATTTCTCATCTGTCTTTCGATTTCAGCATTTGCTTGTGGCCATAATGGAGTTATACGGCGATGATAAATTCCATTCTTCTCACAAAACTCCTCAAACTCAGAAGACACAAATTGTGGACCGTTATCAGACGTTAACTCACATGGTAATCCATGGGTAAGAAACATTCGATCTAAAGACTGAACAATCTTTGACGATGTAATAGATTTCAGAATATCTATTTCAATCCATCTACTATAATAATCGATTATGCTAGAATGTAAATATTATTGTTTATTGGACCAAGTAAATCACAAGCAGTTATTTCCCATGGAGATTCTGGTAAACGTGTTCTTACCATTGGTTCTGGACGAGAAGGTAATTGCACCACCTGACATCCATGACATGTACGACATTCTTTTTCTGCCTCCTTATCAATATTTGGCCACCAAACTTTACTTCTTAAACGCTGTTTGGTCTTAACGATTCCTTGATGTCCCTCATGTGCCAAATTCAGGACCTTCTTCTGTAATATCTTCGGAATCACTAGGCGTGTAGCACGAACTACTAACTTTCCCAAAACACTAAGTTCTTGTCTGACAGATCTATATGCTACATCTACCGATTCCCATTGATCATCAGTCAATATACAAGATCTAACCTTGGAAAGTTCTGGATCCTTGTCTGACTCTTTCTCCACTTCTTGAATTGTGATGGCATTTGGAACTGCATTCTTTGCCACAAAACGTATATAATCTTCTGCATCATCGGTACTAGGGCTTGTGTTCATGGTCAATCTGGACAGTGCGTCAGCAATATTTTGCGCTCCAGGTCTATACGTGACTGTAAAATCATACGACTGTAAACGTAGTACCCATCTTTGTATCCTGGCTGGTGGCGTTGAATTCTTTGAATAAATGACTTCCAAAGGCTTATGATCAGTGATCAATTCAAACTTACTCCCATAGAGATAAACATGAAATCTTTCGCACGCCCAAACTAAACCGAGAGCCTCTTTCTCAGTCTGGCTATATCGTCTCTCCACACTTGTTAAAGATCGACTAGCATAACTTACGACTCTATCTTCGCCATCTTGCTCTTGAATTAAAACAGCACCGAGACCTACCGGGCTTGCATCTGCGATAATCTTCGTTTTGGCATCTTTGTCAAAATATGCAAGTGACTCAGCATTTGTTAATTGGGACTTTAACTTGTTAAAAGCGTTTTCATGTACTTTAGTCCACTGGAAAACCACGCCTTTCCTCGTCAGCTGTCGAAGAGGTTCGGATGTTGTCGCCAGGTCAGGAATGAACCTCGCAGAAAAGTTAACCAATCCAAGGAAACTACGCACTTCCGATGCGGTCTCAGGTCGCCTTGCATTCTTTACAGCTTCAACTTTGGTGTTAGTTGGACCAATACCTCTTTCTGATAAAAGGTATCCCATAAATGTAAGCTCAGTCATGCGAAACTGGCACTTTTCAGGATTAAGTGTAAGATTTTTTTCCACTAGGGTCATCAGCAACTTTTCAAGCCTTTCGTCGTGCTCAGCTTGATCCTTTCCATGTACGATAATATCGTCCGATATATTATGCACACCTTCGCAATCGCGAATTGCATCACCAATATGATACTGATAATATTCTGATGCATTATTCATACCAAAAATTAGACGTGTATATCGATAATGTCCCTTGTGAGTGACAGTGGTTGTGATTTCTCTCGATTTCTCTTCAAGCTCTAACTGGTGATATCCATATTTGAGATCCAATTTTGAGAAAACTTTGCTACCATTTATTTCATGAAGGATATCATCCACTGTAGGAATAGGAAACTTCTCTCTAACAATCGCTTCATTGGCTCTGCGCATGTCCGTACACAGTCGAATGTCACCATTTGGCTTAGGTACAACAACAAGTGGACTTGCCCATTTTGCTGGTCCTTTTACCTTTTCTATTATACCTTGCCTTTCCAATTCATCTAATTTCTTTTCAACTTTAGACTGTAATCCATATGGAATGTTACGAGCTCTCTGTGCCACAGGTTTCACATTTGGGTCTAAGTTAACTTCCAGCTGTCTGTCTTTCAACTTTCCAATACCTTTAAAACACCCCGAATATGTTTTCATCATTCTATCTCTGAATGTATTGTCATCCTCGACTGAGTTGACACCTTCCGATATCACAGGTTGTGGACCAATCTTCAAGACATTCAATTGAATAGCAGTTTTCTTTCCCAGTAATGGCTTACCGGTGCCTTCAATCACTATGAATTCTGCTTCTTTTACTTCTTTGCCTTGACATACAACATCGGCTGTAAATTTCCCAGCAACAATAAGTGGCTTACTTGATCCATATGAATAAATCTGTGTTGCTGTTTTCTCCGACTTACATTTTATTTGCTTGGCTTTAAGTTTCTCCCAACAGGATTTATCGATTACATTACACGTTGAACCAGAGTCAATAAGAAAATTGCACAACACTCCTCCAACTTTGATATCGACTAAACCACTGTTTTCATCCGACTGATGATTAACAACAAAAGCATATTCATTGTCACCCTCTTTGGATTCCTGATCTTCTCTTGTATAGTTTATTTTCTTTTTATTGTCTCTCTCATTACTAACTTTAGTTCTACACACACTTGCAAAATGTCCCTCCTTATGACACTTATGACATTCAGCAGATTTTGCTGGACACTTTGGTGACTTGGCAAAGTGGTCTGTTTTGCCACATCTGAAACATTTCTTGTTGGGTGATTTAAATTTACTTTGAAACTTCCCTTTGATTCGATTGATATTTTCTTTCTTGACTTCATGTCCTGCGTCATCATTAATTTTATTAGCTTGAAAATATGAAGCTTCATGTGCTCTTGAGATTTCTTGAAGCTGCTTAAGTGTTAAAGTTTGTC